ACTTCAAATTCATTCATGTTCATATGGAATCTCTGGAGGAAAGAGCTTTCAATGACAATGAGGTGAAAAAATGGACGAAGCTTTGCAGATGAACATCCTCAATAGGAGAGTACCAGCTCCTATGGTTCCATGGTTATTGAGGATGTTTCCCTGAATTGAGTTAAACACTTCTCTAGTGCATTGCACTAGGATTCCAGGTGGGTGAAAATGGTCAAGGCAATAAACGTGATCGATATACAGTATCTCAAGGTCAACAGTCTTTCCTGTAGAATTAGTGTGTCTTTGGATTGAATGTCATTTCTCAAGGATATGTCAATGTTTGAGGGAGAAATTCGGGAGAAAATATCCCAGCCATGGTGATGATGATGATGATGATGATGATGATGATGATGGTGATGATAATGATAGGAATAGCTAAGTAACTCTTAGGCACCAGGAGCTGTTCTGAGCATTTTACAGGGGCTCCTCATGTCACCTTCACAACAACCCTATGGCAGTGGCTCTCAAACTTCAGCGTGCCTCAGAATCACCTGGAGGCTCCTGAAAACTCTTATACCTGAATCTATCCCCAAGTTTCTGATTCAGTATCTGGTCTGGGGTTCTAGAATTTGCCTTCTGACAAGTTCCCAAGAGATGCAGGTGCTACTGTCAGGGACCCCACACTGAGAACCACTGCCTAGGAGATGAGGGCTCTTCTATGCCCCATTTTACAGGAAAGGATGGTCACGGTAGAGGGGATACAGGATCAAGAGTGGGGTCAGGTTCCTTTCTAAAGTAAAGAAATAACTTAAGTGCACACCAGGCCAGCAGGGCTTAGAAAAGGAAGATGGGATTTTGGGCCTTCACCTCCTCCCTCCCCAGGCTGCCTCACTTGCTTGGCAAACTGGACTCTGGGAGTCAGAGGACACCAGGAGAACTGGAATGTGAGCCCCCAGGCCATCAAGGTAAAGCCCTAAGGCTCCTCAACGCCAGTCTCTACAGTTCAATTAGGTGGAGGCTCCGCTAGTGTCATGCTGAAAGCAGGAAAAGACAGATGAGTCCCTGTTAAAAAATTATGCAGGCCGGGCGTGGTGGCTCACGCCTGTAATCCCAGCACGTTGGGAGGCCGAGGCGGGCGGATCACAAGGTCAAGAGATCGAGACCGTCCTGGTCAAGATGGTGAAACCCCGTCTCTACTAAAAGTATAAAAATTAGCTGGGTGTGGTGGCACGTGTCTGTAGTCCCAGCTACTCGGGAGGCTGAGGCAGGAGAATCACTTGAACCCGGGAGGCGGAGGTTGCAGTGAGCTGAGATCACACCACTGCACTCCATCCTGGGCGACAGTGAGACTCTGTCTCAAAAAAATATGTATATGTTATTAAATGATACCTGTTACAGAATGATAAGAAATAATTTATTTGGGTCCTTGAGGTAGGTATAGGGACCACGGCAAGGAAGTCTTGCAATGAGAAGGAGAGACTGGGCTCAACTCTGAATACAGCATGGGCAAGTAGGAAATTATAGCCAAGGAAAAGGGTGGGGCAGGGGGGTCAGTGGATGGGAAATGACTATGTGGAAACATCAGGGGTGAGGGAGGATTCTGGCTAAACTCACCTAACAGGATTCTTGCTGAGGACAAGCCAAGGCTATCTGACATCACCTGCAGGATGCGGGAGGCTGAGGACCCTGATCAGATATGGAGAATGGGGATTCTTGCTAAACTGACTTAGCAGGTTTCTTTGCTAAAACTGAAATTTCACAAGGAAGTGCATAGATGAGTCTAGCACAGCATTAAGAAGCCTAAAGTCTGGTCCAACAAAAGATTTTCCGTCACCACACGGAATGTATGCCGCGGGGAACAGACTGGGCCTCAGCATCTTCCTACCCCACCAGCTTCTGGGAGGGCATTTTGCCTTGTGCCTCCTGGGTGTCTCCTTGCTTGATCATGTCTAGGAGACAAAAGACTGGCACCTTATCATCTAGGGTAAATTCAGTGTCAGATTTTTAATCCTCAATCAGGTGACAATGCTTCAGTGACAATCTCAGGAATTAAAAAAATGAAGTTCATTCATTCACCAATTCTTTGTGTGTGTGTGGTTTAAGACAACTTATTTTGCTCATGATTTTGTGGATCGGAGCCCAGCCACATTTGATAAGATGGAGAAGTGAATTCCACCCTTTGAAGACAAGCAGGAGCATCGCTCTATGGAAGATCATACAGGCTGGAACAGATTTCTGCAGCCATCTTCGGAGAATACAATATGCTACATATGTTATTAAAGATTCTTCATCACTGCAGTGACTGAATCTTATTCTAATTAAAAACGTATCACCATCGATTTAATGAATTTCCGTTGCTGGAAACTTTAGAAACAATATTATAAACATCTTCATGATGAACATCATTCTACATAAAACTATCTGCACCTCTGAAAATTTTTTATTATGTTAATTAAGGCAGAGCTACTAGATTATAAAGTTAAAACTACTGGATATAAATGGCCAACGTAATTCCCAGCAAAAACCTAATTGAATCTGCTTCATTTAAAAATATTTTACTCTTTGAAAGAAAAATATTCCCATCAACACAGCTTACAAATAAATGTGACTATTTTCATCTATTATTTTTACCAATAGTTTTTTAGATATGAGCAAAATTCCCACTAAAATTTGCATTACAGTTTAATTAAACCTATAAATGAACATAGGATGTACTGGCCCGTCTTAAATATAAGTCTTGTGGTCCAGAAGTCTTTTACCCTGATCTTCTTTTATAATTACTGTGAGAAATGTATACTATTTGTAATTGAATTATTTCTAGCATTTTACACTTTTGTAATTGTTGAAGGAGGAGCTTTTTCCCCCATTAGATGCTTAAGTTGACTATTGATGCATAATTGGGAAAGTGTATTTATGCGGGTTCAGACATCTTTCTAAATTCTTTTTGTTCTAATAGCTTTTAATTGATTCTCTTAGGCTTTCGGGGTAGACAGTCATATTAACAGCAGGGAGTGATTGATACTTTTTTTTTTTTCATCAGGTTAGATTGGGGAGAATTGATGGGCTTTTCTTTTTTTTTACATTTTGAATTATTATGAATACATAATAGTTGTACATATTTATGGGGTGAATGTGATTTTTTCCCCAACTTTTATTTTGGATTCAGAAGGTAAATGTGCAGGTTTGTTATATATTGCATGATCCTGACGTCTGGAGTACGAATGATGCAATCACCCAAATACTGAGCATAGTATCCAATAGTTAGTTGTTCAGCCTTTGTTACCACCCCCCACACTCCTCTAGGAGTCCCCAGTTTCTATTGTTTCCATGTTTATGACCACGAGTACACAAAGTTTAGTTCCCATTTATAAGTGAGAACATGTATTAATTCACTTAGGATAATGGCCTACAACTGCATCCATGTTACTGTAAAGGACGTGATCTTTTTTATGGCTGTATAGCATTCCATGATGTATATATACTATATTTTCTGTATCCAGTCCACCACCGATGGGCAACTAGGTTGATATCATGGCTTTGCTATTGTGAATAGTGCTGCAATGAATGTGCGAATGCATGTGTCTTTTTTGTAGAATGATTTGTTTTCTTTTGGGCATATATCCAGTAATAGGATTGCTGGTTCAAGTCATAGTTCTGTTTTAAGTTCTTTGAGAAATCTCCAAACTGCTTTCCACAGTGGCTGAAATAATTTACAGTCCCACCAAGAGTATATAGGTGTTCCCTTTTCTCCACGGCCTCCCCAGAAGCTGTTATTCTTTTACTTTTTAATAAAAGCCATTCTGCTGGTGGGAGATGGTATCTCATTGTGGTTTTGAATTGTATTTCTCTGATGATTAGTGATGTTGAGCAGTTTTTCGTGTTTTTTGACCACTTGTATGTATTCTTTTGAGAAATGTCTGCTCATGCCTTTCACCCATTTTTCATGGGGTCATTTGGTTTTTGCTTGTTGAGTTGTTTAAATTCCTTACAAAGTCAATATTAGACCTTTGTTAGATGTATAGTTTGTGTCGTACACCAATTCTAAAAACACACATAAACTTTTTTTTTTTTCCACTTTAAGCTCAGGGGATTAGTGTGCAGGTTTGTTGCATGGGTAAATTTCATCTCACTGAGGCTTGGTGTACAAATGATCCCCTCACCGTGGTAGTAAGTGGAGTACCCAACAGGCTGCCTTCCAATCAAGGTCCCCCTCTCAGTCTTCCACCACAAGTAGTCCTCAGTGTCATTATTCCCATCTTTGTGTCCAAGTGCATTCAATGTTTAGTCCCCACTTATAAGTGAGACCATGTGGTATTGGTAAAACATTCTTTTTAAAAATATTTGAGACCATGAAAAGAAAATAGAACTGAATAATCAAACATCCCCAATTCCTTATATGATCCCTTCAAAACCCCCAACCAGGGGAATCTTCTCAATATAAACTTTGGAACTTTGTTAATCTCTTACTGCACTCTGGAGGTTTATACTTGTTTTTCTTGTGTCTTGTTTTTCTCCCCCTTCCCACGCTCAGCTCTGCAGCAATAGCTGTCTGTCTTGGTCTCTGTCTTGTCTCATTGTCCTCAAATCAGACATGCAGCTATGGTCCCAACCAATTCCAATTTCCCCCTCAAATCCACAGGATACACCGCGGACCCAGTTTCTACTGTTGAGAACTAACCCCGTTTCGTTTTGGTGAGTCCATCCAATACCTCCACTTGCCCTGTGTTTCTCCAACCAGATCCCTGGCCTCTTCCACAGTCCTTAGGTAGATGCTTAAATATTTTTATTCTACCATGGTGGCTCTAGTTTCTCAGGGGGCAGTAAGGTGGCTTTTTAGGATTGGTCTAATCAGATCCTCATTTCTTTTCCCTTCCTAGGTTTTGAAACATGAATCCTTCACTTCTCCTGGCTGACTTTTGCCTGAGATTAGCCTCAGCTACTCTAACAGCTTAGATGCACAGTGGAACCAGTGGAAGGCAAAGCACAAGAGATTATATGGCATGGTTGGTGGCACCTGACACCATCCAAAGGGATGCCTGAGAGAATGGTCCTTGATGTTGGGAGATTGTAGCCACAGAGTAGGTATTAGAGGCCAGCTCTTACCAATAACCTAATGCAATAACCTAAGGGCACTGATTATGAGCATGATATGGGCATACCCTCCTGTCATTTCTTGGCTTGGAGAACAGCTCCCAGAGGCGTCAAGCCTTCCCTGGCCATAGTTTTTCTTCCATGTCTGTCTGCAGATTCACTTGGTGAGCATGAGTTGCGTTTTAGGTAGAAATAAAGAGCATCAGTTACATGTTTGCCTCTACAGTGAAGAAGGATAGAGGAGAGCAGTGTGGGAGAAGAACATGAAGATGACTGAGCAGCACAATCAGGAATACAGCCAAGGGAAACAACTTCACAATGACCATGAGTGCCTTTGGAGACATGGTGAGTGTGCTGTGGACTGCTGTGTGGACTCTGTGCTTCCTCTCCTCGGTTCTTTACTAAAATAATCTCTTACTTTTCAACATTTTATTTCCTTTTCCTTGAAGACCAGTGAAGAATTCAGGCAGGTGGTGAATGGCTTCAAATACCAGAAGCACAGGAAGGGGAAAGTGTTTCAGGAACCTCTGTTTCATGATATCCCCAAATCTGTGGATTGGAGAGAGAAAGGCTATGTGACTCCTGTGAAGGATCAGGTAAGATAGTGTCAGATTCAGACCTCCCATCTCCCCAGGAAAGCCACAAGGTGATCGACCTCTTTGCTTTAGTGGCGTGTAGAACAACTTGCTGTTCATAGTATTCAGATATATGAGCTGTTGCCAAAGTTTTGCTGTTTGCTTTGTGAATGACAGCTTTTTTCTTCTTTTTTTCCGGGTAAGTGTGCATCTTCTTATGCTTTTAGTGCAGCCGGGGCTCTGGAAGGACAGGTGTTCGGAAAACTGAGAAACTAGTTTTACTGAGTGTGCAGACCTGGTGGACTGCTCTAGGTTTCAAGGCAATGTTGGCTGCATTTTTGCAGAACCATTATTTTGCTTCCAGTATGTTGCCGACAATGGAGGCCTGGACTCTAAGGAATCCTATCCATATGAAAGAAAGGTCAGTGGAGTTCTTTGTCTTGCTGTCATTCCAACTCTGCTTTTGGAAAGTGGAGCACTTTCAGAGATAACGACACTTTTTTCAGAACTCACATTTGAGATGGTGGAATCTATATCTGCAAACGGTCAGTGCTGTCATTATAAATTATTAGCCTTTGCACAGTTCTATGATTATGTGGTTAACATACAGCTGTTCTTGCTATATGTCAGCAAGAACATATAACATAGAGAATAGCCAAACATAATAACATTGAGAATATACAAACTATTTTACATATAATACACATTTCTCCATTGTGAAAAAATTTCTTGTGGATCATAAGCCTAAGGTTCTGTTCAAGAGACTTGAGCTAATGTTTAGTTTCAAGTCAACTAACAGCACTTCATTTCCTGGGAAATCCTAAACTGCAAAGTGCTGAGCGTTGTGGTTCTAACTCATGTTGTCCAGAGGGAGGATGGTGGTAATCAAGTCTCTTCCCCCCTTACTTTTAAAAGGAAAAAGCCTGTAGGTACAATCCTAAGTATTCTACTACTAATGACACTGGGTACATGCAAATACTCCCTATGGAAGAGAAGGCCCTAATGAAGGCTGTGGCAACTGTGGGACCCATCTCTGCTGTTATTTACGGACTTCTTGATTCCTTCTGGTCCTATGAAAAAAGAAGGTAAGAGTTTTTGTTTGTAGACGTTGAGGAAGAAAAATTGAAAACCACATGACATACAAGCAGAATGGACTATTTGGTACAAAACATTCAATGTAAATATTTGGGTTCGTAGATTTCACATAGTTTATTTTATACATGCAATCTTTCTTTCTCTCTCTTTCTCTCTCTCCTTCTTTTCTTTCCTTTCTTTCTCCTTCCTTCCTTCCTTGCTTCCTTCTCTTTCTCTCTTTCTTTCTTTCTTTCTTTCTTTCTTTCTTTCTTTCTTTCTTTCTTTCTTCTTCTTCTTTCTTTTCTTTCTTTTTTTTTTTTTTTTTTTTTTTTTTTTTTTTTTCTTTCTTTCTTTCCTTCTTTCTTTCTTTCCTTTCTTTCTTTCTTTCTTTCAGATGAGGTCTCGCTCTTGTCTCCCAGGCTGGAGCGCAATGGCACAATCTCAGCTCACTGCAACCTTCGCCTCCTGGGTTCAAGCGATTCTCCTGCCTCAGCCTCCTGAGTAGCTGGGATTACAGGTGCCCACCACCACGCCCGGCTAAGTACTTGCATTCATGGGGTTATGCTTAATGTGCCCATGAATGTACATACTTCATAACTCTTTATAAATTGTTACTTATGGCTTGGCTCACACCTGTAATCCCAGTGCTTTGGAGACAGAAAGGCTTTGTGACTCCTGGGAAGGATCAGGTAAGATAGTGTCAGATTCAGACCTCCCATCTCCCCAGGAAAGCCAAGAGGTGATTGACCTCTTTGCTTTAGTGGTGTGTAGAACAACTTGCAGTTCATAGTATCCAGATATATGAACTGTTGTCAAAGTTTTACTGTTTGCGGGTGGATCACCTGAGGTCAGGAGTTCAAGACCAGCCTGGCCAACATGGCGAAGCCCCATCTCTTTTAAAAATACAAAACTTACCCAGGTGTGGTGGCAAGTGCCTGTAATCCCAGCTACTCAGGAGTCTGAGACATGAGAATCACTTGAACCCAGGAGGCAGAGGTTGCAGTGAGCCGAGATCGAGTAACTGTACTTTAGCTTGGGTGACAGAGTGAGACTCCACCTCAAAACAAAACAAAACAAAAATCATAATTCGTATATTTAAAGACTTTTTTCGTGTTTATGCTTAAGTCTTTATTGGGCATCTCCTATGAGATGGTGCTGTGATGGCCTTGAGGACATACAAATGAAGCATATACTCAGGGCTTCTTCCTCTGGAGCTCCTATTCCCACGTAAACAAGCAAATCAAAACCTGGCACAAATCCACGGGCAAGTGCAGCACTGCGCAGGCTCTAAAGGGAGCCGGGGACAGTCAGGGCACACACTAGGAAGGTGCTTCCCTCTAGGGGTCAGGGCCGGTCTAAGCAAGTAGCATCTGATCTCGATTTCAATAGTCCATAGCTGTCGTATGTTGGACAGGGCATGAGGGGGCAGTTTCTCTTTGTGCAGTATTATTTCAATTTTTGAGTAACGAGCATTCATTATTTTCATGAGATAACAGATTCAGAAAGTATGTAGTTCAAGAAAAAAGTTAAAGAATTGATAGAGGAGAAGAAGGAGGAGGAAGAGGGGGAGAAACAGAGGGTCCTCAGATAACTTGATAAAGGCGAGTCTCTCATTTGAGGACTGATATTCCTGAGATCTGTGCAGACGCTGCTCAGCGGGTCCATCACACAGCACAGGCCTGAGGAAGCACCACTGCCCAGCTGGACTCCAGGGCACTCCACCCTCATCTCAGTCACACAGAACCTCTCTGAGGATGGTGGCTGTTGGCTCCAACTTACCATTCCCAGCCAAGAGAAACAGGGAGGGGGCTTTGCTAAGGGCTAAAGGAGGGATGGACAATGAGGAGATAAACCAGGACAGTGTTGTGATGAGACTGCTTTGGTGAGGATGCAGAGCAGTGACTCTGCTCAGAACTCCGGAACACTTGCTCCCTTCCGCTGCCCCACTCCCCACAACCACGCACACTCCCCTCACCCCAACCCGGGCAGTATGTTGAGCTCTTAACAGACGTGCTCTTTCCCTGGCGCTTTATATTCTTTCCTCTGCAGTCACATTCAAGAGCAGCACAAACTGCGAATCACCGAGCACTCAGGGGTGTCCAATATAGGTAAAAAACAAGACCAAATTCTTGGCTTTGTGTCTGTAATTCTGAAAAAAGATTCCAGCAGCGACTTCCTGTTTCCATTACAGCATGGAAGGAGTTTGGAAGTTGTAAACATCTACTAACAAATAAAAACCTGAATAAATTTTAAAATCAACAACTCTTCTTAGAACCCTAAGACAAGCGAAGTCATGAAGCAGACCGCTGCCCTAATACCTGGAGAGAGAAAGGAATACCGAGAATCACGGGGAATATCGCAACTCACGGGGGCGGAGACCGTGGCCAGGGGCCAGGGGCCTTTGCAGGAACAGCGCCTGGTAAGAAAAACCAAGCTGTAACTGACAAACTGCCAGAGGCAGGGTGTGGACAAATCTCAGCATTAAAACTCAACCCTGGGTTCGATCCTGGCTTTGGTCCTGGGGGTGCCCTCAGGTTGCATAGCTTCAGTAGCTCCACCAGGCTCTCAAAGTGAAAACCTGAGAATTCCCTTATGATTCCTGCTGGGGACGGAAAAAGTAACAATTTTGGAATCCGCCATTCTGTTCTTCTTAATAAGGCCTACACTCAAGAGACACTGTTTTACCAAACTCTAACCTATTTGGGTTTTATCAAAGCTTAACCGACCTGAGGGGGGAAATACCCAACCCCAGCCTGCTTTAGCCTTCCAGGTGGAGAAGGGTAGCACCCAACAACAGCCCACTTTGGCCACTCTCTTCTGTCTAAGGAGGGAAAAACTGAGAGGCACTTGTGAATTCCATAGTGCAGGGACACGGACTTGTTAACAAACTGCAACTCACAGGACTAAGGAGTGCTTCTCCTCCCTCTAAACCACACCACCACTTTCCTAAAGGGTCATTTATCAGAGCTCCTTTCACCGTACCTCAAGTTCCTCTTTCAAAAGAAAATTACAAGGCATTCTAAAAGGCCAAAAGTGAGGCAGGAAAGTAGGGTCTGGAGGCAGAAAACATAAGGCCGATTCACACTTCAGCTATGACAGGAAATATCCTCTCCATAGGGTATAGATCAAGTAAATGACTTTGTAACTTTACTTCATCCTCTCCATTTGCACAGGGCATATGCCAAGTAACCAATGGAATCCTCTAGAGGGTATTCAAACTCCCCAAAATCTGTAACAGGGCCTTTGAGCCACTATGCTCAGGCCTGCTCCCACACTGTGGAGTGTACTATTATTTTCAATAAAACCCTTCATTCCTTCCTTGCTTCGTTTGTAGGTTTTGTCCAATTCTTTGTTGAAGACACCAAGAACCTAGACATCCTCCACCATTAACAAAAGCACAACTTGAAGAGACAGAACAAGCCTCAGAACAAGAATCAGATATGTCATGGGTGTCAGAACGATCAAACCAGGAACTTAAAATAGCTATGATTGCTATGCTAAGGGATAATGGAAAAATTAACAAGTGAGAACACATGGAGAATGTAGAAAGAGAGATGAAAATTCTAAGAAAGAATGAAAAAGAAATAGCCTCTCAAATTGTAGGGTAAATTTGTTCTCTGAAGCTGCCTTATCTGCCTAAAGTCCGGACCTACCAAAGAGGAAAATAATTACCTTTGTTTCCCTCTCCGAGTTTTCATTAACTGAGCTCATGTTAAGAGGAAAGAAACTGAAGTCTGTCGACAAACCTGGACGGAGTTTTGTCACAAACCACTGTCTGCCCTGCGGGCCCAACAGACTTTGTCCCAGACCACTGTATGTTCTTGAAGCCCATCGAACTCTCCCTGGCCATCGTTTATTGCCCCTCAGCAGAAATCCTCTTCTGCCGCCTCCCATAACCTGTTTTTCCAGGATCCAGGCCCTGACTTTGTAACCTCAAGAGAGCATATAAGCTTCTGCATCCCACTGGGGAGTTGCGTCTTCATTCTGAAGTCTCCGCGTATACATGTTAAACAAATTTGAATGCCTTTTCTCTAATTAATCTAACTAATTAAACTAATTAATGCCTTGTGTGAGTTGACTTTTTAGTGAAGCTTGGAAGGGTGAAGGAAAAGTTTTCCCTTTACTCCTACACTGGTATTATTCATCTTAAAGATGTTTTGGAAGATTAGTGTGCCCCGGTATCACTGAAACACTCTTTTTGAGATCATATTTTAAGATATGTCACCGAAGATTTTAGATAGAATGGTCAGAAAACACAGGAAAGTAACAGGGCATGTGACAAGCCCTTGAGACCTGGCTGGGGGTGGCCGGGGGGGAGGCGGGGGAGGGTGGGCGGGTTGGGGGAGGGTGGGGGCGCTGTTCACCTGAGGTCTTAAAGCAGAGATGGACAGATTAGGGATGCAGGGCCATAAACGGGACCTGGAGCCATGTCAACACACTGCCTGTGGTGAGCACTCTTCTATGCTTTGATGTAGGATTAAGGAACTTCTATACTTCTATGCCCTTGGGGTTTGTCAGCCAAACCAGTTCCCACGATCATTGCTTACTCTCTTGTTGTTTCTGTGTGTTGAGCTCCATATATGTGGGGACACACTGAATTAGGTCAATGGTGGGCATAATCTCTGGCTAAAATGTAAGCTTGCCAACCAGTGGCCCATCTAGGAAACTTTTGTTCTTCCCCTTCTCTTGCATATTCTCAGAAATGTAAAAAGCACATCAAAAATCACTTTCTTGGACTGACCATTGTGAGTGAACATTTGCCCTCAAACTCCAGTCTCTATGTCCTCACCTGTTCATAATTTGATGAAAAGCCATTGATTTGTTATACAAATGCAGACTCTGTAAATGTTTACCAGATAGAGCAATTAACCCACTAGCTCTTTGGTTTATAACCAATAATGTCCCCCATTCTCTCCACCTCCCCCTAGAGCAGTAAGCCTGCTGTTGCGGTGGCTTGGCTTCCTCCCATTAGTGCTTCCAATGAGTAACTTGCTCGTGGCTGTTTTCAACCATTCTCAGAGGACCTTACCCTTTGCCCTTCCAGCAGTTTTGTCTGTTGCTTCTCAATAATTTTTACATAAAAAATCAAATAAAACAAGTAAGCATTATAAAAAACAAAAATATAGATAAACAAGAAAAACAGGTGGGGATGAACCCCCAAAGACTCACCCAAAATCTCACTGTACCTGTTTTTGGCTTCTTGAAACCAGTGGCCAACTGGGAACACACTGCTCACTTACATGCCAAACACCGCATTTACCTTGTCATGTATTATGGCATTTGATCATCAGGATAACCCTCATCCCCATTTTACAGATGAGTACGCTGAGGTTAGAGAGGTTACGGAGCTTGCCCAAGGGCACAGGGCTAGTCAGTGAGGAAGCCAGGATTTGATCTCAGGAGGTAGAACTCCGGACAAACCGGAATGCAGTGCTGCAGGGGTGTATGGAACCTGGTACTGAGGGCTGGTAGTCACTAGGATTTTGCAGGAGCACCACAGGGAATGATTTATGCAAAACACAACCTTCTCCACAGTTCACAGGAGCAGCAACCAAGACACCACACCCCTTCCAAGGGACCCAGTTGGGAGCTCATTCGGCAACACGCAGTTCCCAACTCTCACCTGCTTCCATTCAAAACTTCCTCAAAAGCACTTCCTGTTTTCTGTGACTCTCCATTGAGTTTTACCCAATGAATGAGAGCCCCTTTACATGATTAGGCCCAGAAAGGCATTTAAAATGTAATAGTAGTCATGTCCCACTCCCCCTTAAGCCAAATAATTATCTCTTGAAGACACTTGCTCTGCAGGCTCTAAATTAACTGATGCCAAGTAGCCATAAAACGCCACACGCTCTATAGTTCCGCAATGTGTAGCCAGTCACTAACCAGTGTTACTTCTGTAAACCAATGAGAATTCCTGACGAACAACTTTTGTAATTGCTCACTCTCCTGATTAAACCCTTTGTTTTTCTTTAAAAACTCAGGCCTCTCTTTTGTTCTCTTGAGCACTCCCCAAAGAAACTTGGAAGTGTGTTCCTGGCTGGAGTCCTCAACCTTTCTTTAACTAGATTCTGGCTTTTCGATTATTTCAGGTTGGTAGGAACCACCAGCCACCCCTTTCTCTAGCAGAAGATTTCCCCACATCTGAGTTATTTCACCTGGAGCAGGTGCTGGAGCAGGTGGGATGGAAGGGAGAGGAGAGTATCAGATTCTGACCCCTGCCCTGTAACTGCAGACCTGTGGTGTATATAATGCAAGGGGAGTGATGCATTTTTTAAAAGTCTTTTTTGTGTTCTCTTTACAGGGACATTTCCCCTCTATCGCCAGGGGTATTGTTATCTCACAGACTATGGATTTTAACAACAGGAATGCAAAGAAAAAAAAGAATCGGTGTTCAGCCTTAGACCTCCCGAACAGAATTTCTGAGTTGACAATGGTCCAGAAAGTGAAGACTGAAGAGAGAGGAAAAGGTTTTTAAATTGCAGGACCCGATCTAAAAAGCTACTGTATGAACCTAGAGCAGTGGTCCCCAACCTTTTTGGCACCAGGGACTGGTTTTGTGGAAGACGTTTTTTCCGCAGACTGGGGGGATGGTTTCAGGATGAAACTGTTCCACCTCAGATCATCAGGCATTACTGAGATTCTCCTAAGGAATGCAAAACCTAGATCCCTCCAATGCGCAGTTCACAATAGAGTTCATGCTCCTATGAGAACCTAATGCTGCAGCTGGTGTGACAGGAGGTGGAGCTAAAGCAGTCATGCTTGCTTGTCCGCCAGGCACCTCCTGCTGCGTGGCCCAGTTCCTAACAGACCATGGACCAGTAGGGGTCCACGGCCCGAGGGCTGGGGACCTTTGACCTAGAGGACAATGTCATCAAGGAATTAATTGTCCATGGCTTGGTGGAGTTGGAGGAAGAAAGAAGTGTCTTCCACAATCACCTGTAAAATGGGGCATAGAAGAGCCCTCATCTCCTAGGGCAGTGGTTCTCCAAGGTGGTTCTCTGATCAGTAGCACCTGCACTATTTTGGAATTTGTTTGAAAAGCAAATTATGGAACCCTGTCTCAGACCTACTGAATGAAAAACTCACAGAATGGGCCCTGCAATCCGAGTCTTCAGGAACCTCCGGGTGATTCTATTATAGCTTTTCTATTGTTATAATTTTTAATTTTTATTTCTACTTTTTAAGCTTTTTCGTTACAAACTGAGACACAAATGCACATTAGCCTGGGCTTATACAGGGGTAGGGTCATCCGTATTACCGTCTTCCACCTGCACATCTTACTGAACTGAAGGGCTTCAGGGGCAGTAACACGCAGGGAGCTGTCATCTCCTGTGATAATAATGCCTTCTTCTGGAATCTCTCCTGAAGGAACTGCCTCAGGTGGTTTTATATCTAAAATTTTCTTTTTACAGGCAGGCGTACACTCTAAAATAAGAATAAAAAGTCTGGTACAGTAAATACATAAACCAATAGCATAGTTGTGCATTATCATCATCAAGTATTATATAATGTACACAATTGTATGTGCTAGACTTTTATATGACTGGCAGCACAGTAGGTTTGTTTACACCAGCATCACCACAAATACGTAAGCAGCACTAAACGTTTCCACAGGTATGATGCCAGTAGGTGATAGGCAGTTTTCAGCTTCGTTATAATCTTATGTGACCACTATTGGCCATGATATATGTGGTCTGTCCTTGACTGACATGTCATTATGCAGTTCTTGCCTGTATATAGCATTATTTTGTTGAGATATACTTTACGTAACATAAAACTCATCATCTTAAAGTATTTGGTGGTTTTTAGTGTATTCATTATCTTAAGCAACTATTACCACATCTAACTCCAGAACATTTTCCTCACCCCAAAAATAAGTCCTGTATTTATTAATCAGTGTCTGAGTCTGTTTTCTGTTGCTTACAGCAGAATATCTGACACTGGGTCATTCCTAACGAAACAAAATTTATTTCTTACAGCTCTGGAGACTGGAAAGTCCAAGGTCACAAGAGGTGCATCTGGTGAGAGCCTTCTTGCTGGTGGGGACTCTCTGCAGAGTCCCGAGGTGGCACAGGTCACCACATGGTGAAGGGGCTGAGTGTGCTAACATGCTAGCTCAACTCTGTCTTTCCCTTCTTATTAACATACCAGTTTCATTCCCATGATAACCCATTATTCTATTAACCCACGAATGGATTAATCCATTCTTGAGGACAGAGCCCTCATGCTCCTATCATCCCTAAAATGGCCCGTCTTTCAGTGCTGCCATATGGGGGATTAAATTTCAACATGAATTTAGGAGAAAAAATTCAAACCATAGCCCACAGTTAGTTCCAATTCCCTCTACCTTCATTTGCATAATCTATTTTCTGCTTCTATAGATTTCTCTATTCTGGGCCTTTCACGTAAACAGAATCATAAAATATGGGATCTTTTGTGTCTGGCTGCTTTTATGTAGCATCATGTTTTCAGGGCTTGTTCATATTATATATGTATCAGTGCTTCATTCCTGGCTGAAAATACTGCATGGCATGAATACACTGTATGTATTCCATTGTATGAATATTAATCCATTCATCAATTGATGAACATTTTATTGCTTTCACTTTTCTGGCTATAATGAATAATGTGCTAGGAACAACTGTGCATACATTTTTGCATTAGCATATGCTTATCAATTTCTTGGGTATAGTCATAGGAGGGGAATTGGTATATGTTTAACTTTTGAAGAAACTACCAGATTGCTATCCACAGTGGCTATGCCATTTTACCTTCCCACGTAACTGATGAAAGGCAAGAAAATTGGATACTTGTCTGAACTTTCATTTCTATTTTACTTCTTTGGTTTTTCTTTTGGATTGTAGAAGTGAAAATTATGTATGCCTTGTTTCTAATTTATTATTTTGATTGAGATGGATAAGATAGTGAAAAATAATATTTTATTGGAAATACTAAGCTTTGATAACTAAAATTACAGAATATTTGAAAGCTTCTATTTTAAAACCTTTCTATATTACAGTCCTGTCTGCATTAAAAGATTCAGTGGAAAAATGAGAAACCAATAGAAGCAACATCAGTATACTCTGATCCAATGTACTGTCCAATTTATATTGGCTTTGGAATGTAGATAATTTCATCCTCATCTTTGGTAAGCATAAACTTTTGGCTAATGACATACCGTCTCCAAGCCTCGGTTTTGTCTACTATAAAATGTAAATAATTCCAGTGGCCTCATAAGGTTGTGTTAAGAATTAATTGAGATAATATGTGTATTAATATACCAGTCATATCCATGAATCCTCTCTCAAAAATGGACATATTCTTGAGAAATGACATTAAATCCAAAGGCACACAAATATTGCAACAAATGCTGTTGACGTTGAAATACTGTATATTGACCATGTTTATTGTTTCACCATTCCTACTCATCTAAAATCCTACTGTAATGCACTAGGGAGGTGTTTAACTCGATTCAGGGAAATATCCACAAATATCATAAACCAAAAGAGCTGATTCCCTCTCATTCAGGAAGGTCCCCTGCCAGGTTTCTTCCATTTCTTAACTCCATTGTCCTCAAAAGCTTTCTTATCTGGGAATTCTACATGGAACCATGAATGAATTTGAAGTCTTGCGAGAAGGGTAATAGAACTGTCAAATATTCTCCCAATTCCACTAGAGAAGAGAGGGTAGGGGTGAGGCAGAGGGTCTTGATCAGTTTAGGCCTGATTCATTTGACACTGGCGGAGGAGACCAGGTTTTCAATGATTAAGCCTTGCCCTAACCGCTAGCCCTTAGCCAGAGCCGTGGAACTGGGTGTTGACCCCATTTCCTCCTTTGCAGTCTCCACTCTGTTCCACCCAGGAATAGGGGATGAAATGCTGGGGTGAAAAGGGCAGGGAATTTGTGATCATGGCAGCACCATGGCTGAATTCAGGCAACAGTGTTTTTTCATTCATTCATTCTGAAAAATGTTATTGAGTCTCTTTAAGTCAGGTCTTGTGCTGAGGAATCAATGATGAACCAACACTGAGACATTCCCTGTGCTGGGGGAGCTTACAGTCAAACTGGGTGGTAAGTGGGAATTAATTTCTCCTTTGAATGACGTATAAACTTTGCACCTCCTTCCCTCCCCATTGAACGAACGTTCTGGGCAGTTTTTTCATTTGTGGGTCCGAGTGGTGAGGTTTCCATGTCGCCATTCCATCCCCCTAATAGAGGGAATCTGAGAAAGTGTGGCTACCTCCTCTTCTCTAGATTTCATAAGAAAAAAGAAGTCTTGGAAGACTTTACATAAAAGTTCACATATTGTCTCAAAAGACATTTGACCAGGGCTACCTGGTGCCCTTCATCATTGATGGAATGTGCCTCACTGACTCAGGGATTTCTGTCCTAATCAGGAGAGGCCACCATCTGTCATCTGGCTCTGCTCTAGCTCACCCTGTGGTAACCTGGGTCCGGTTTCCATTTCCAAGAAGTTACATCACTGCACTGTGGAACTGCAGGCACCAGCACAATGAGTCCTGATGGAGAGCTCCAAATCAAGGGCTGATGTTCCCACTCAGGGAGAACAGGTCACCACAAGAATGGTGCAGCTATTAGAAATCTGCAGCTTTTGAAGTGTCAATTCAAACACTATCACCACTTTAGTGTTCTTTCTCAGGAAGCACAACATCCATGTTAACAGAATGAGTGAAGAATCCATCTTCTGTCTGCCATCAAAAGTTACAGCAAAATGTCTAGGATCATAAGTGGCATCAAGGAATATAAACTCTTCTATTTTATTTATTTACTTGTATTTTTTGAATTATGGTTTTGCTCTTTCATTCAAGCTGGAATGCAGTGGTGCAACCATGGCTCACCACAGACTCAAACTCCTGGCCTCATGTGATCTTCCCACCTTAGCCTCCCAAAGTGCTTGGATTATAGGAGTGAGCTACTGCAAAACTCTTCTATTTTAGATCTAAATACCGTACCATGGACATCTTTCTTTGTCAATACATTTAGAGTTTCCATTGTTGACCCTATTGTAAATCATTTAACAATCTCCTTTTCTCTTATTGATGAGTATTTCAACTTTTTTATGTTTCATGTACAAATAATACTGTACTTTATATCTTTGCATGTGTATCTTTATAGAGATGTGCAAATAGTACTATAAAACTAATTTTTTGAAAATGCATCTACTTGCTGAAAAAATGTGATTTCATTGTGTGCTCCTACCTGTAGTGAATTAGCATGTGCATTTCTTCACAACTTACTAATTAACTCATTTTATAGGCAAAATGTGATCTAATTTGTTGCTGTAATTTCCATGTCCTTTGCAGGGAGAGTTCTAATTTCAACTTTATTATTATCATTAATTCAAGATATTATTATTTCTCCACCACATTAATCATCATTATGATCATTACCACAAATAATAGATGCTAACAATAGTCACCCTGCATTAAGAACAGCCTACATTAAGAACCTACATCCCATGCACTTTCCACACAGACTTGATTTGATTCCATTCACTCCTCACAACAACCATCAGAAGAAAGAATCATGAAGCAATTGTATAATTGAAACACAAAAGGAAAGTTACTTGTGTGCGCTCGGTCAAGTAATTTGAACAGTCTGTGCTTCTGATCTTCTAATAGAAAAATATAAATAATAGTATATTCATTATCTACTACATGGGGATGTGTCAGAAATTAAAGTACTGTGTATCTGCAAGGCATTTTATGCCACCTGTGAATTGTTCATTGATTATATAGTGTGTCTTATGTTTCAGTGCGCTGGGAAGGATGGATTATAAGGGAAAGACTGAGAAAATGCAGAATTTGGTGCAGGGTTTCCAGTGGAAAAGACATCTTGTTTCCCAAACAACAATGGTCACACACTGAAGACGGACAACCTGCCTATTAACTGGAGAACCCTACTGAAATCTTAGAGGAAGCCTGAGATTTTCCTCGCACAGGTGTTTACTATTCAAGTTGGCACAAATGGGTTTTGTTAAAACCCATTTTCTTTCTATTCTGCCTCTATCTGGTGCAAGATAGAATTGAAGAGGATATAAAGCAGCAAGGTGCAATTTGAAATCAGAATGGCAACAATGGAAGAAAATGGTCTTGGTTCAACCCAATGCTCACCTGAAATCACTTTTATTAAGGATGACCAACTGGAACAAAATTGTATATTAGTCTTCTCATGATAATTTCAAGTGTGTTTTGATTTGAGAATTTCTTTATGAAAGTCTTCAAAAATCCCATCTCTTAATCCATGGGATTTTCTCTGGAGTCTGAAAATTCCCCAGATCTTTGGAGACTTGATGGTTGTTCACTGGTCAAGGGCTCTATAAAAGTTTTCTGGGGAGCTTGACTCAGTGGTCAACAAAGGCCCTTGCAAGTCTTCAGTCTGATTCTGGGATCCCCAAGGAGACCTGGAGCCTTTCTCAACATCTTTTGATTGGAAAGAGCATGTGCTTCATCCTCTGTTGCAACAGAAATAGCCATTGTGAAGCTCCATGGTGAGGTGCAATGAGTTTATTCGACCATGTGTGGGCTGGATAGGCTCAGATTTACAGGTATGTTTGAGCTCTGTTTCATAGTCAAATGTACAGATCTAACAGGTGACTGGATCAGTTGTACTCTTCATCTTCCTTGTATTCTGGGAAGCATGAAGTGCAGTATCATCTTATCGAGGATGTTCTGCACATGCTAAGTGGTAGGGACGAGGATCACAATGAAGACAACTGGCCCCATGACATGAGGAATTATGTGGCTGGAGAGGCCCAGGTGTAGCAGTTATGGGATGTTACTTCACCAAACAGGTGATGTTTCACACCTCAGGGTAACAGAACATTTTGCCTGTCAGTGCCTAGCCACTGTTCACAATCAGAGCCAAAAAGGCTTCTCTGAAATGGAAGAAACTTTTGGGAAACATGGCCCCTGTAGGCAGACACTTCATGTTAGAGACACAGCTGCTTGCCTTGGTTTAGGCTGCTACCAAAACTCCCTCCATGTTGGTAATCAAAGCAAAACAGAGATGGAGCCAGAGCCTGAATCAGATCCTAAAACAAACAAACTAATTCACAAGAGTCTCAGCACTTCAGTGGTATTGTTCCCACCCTCCTGTGGAAAGGTCTGGACATTTTAACATAAACTGGCTGTGGAGTAGGCAAGAGTGCTGGTTAGCTTTTCATTGATTGATACGGCATTGCTGACATTTGACTACTTGTCACCTTCAAAATAGCCATTTCAAGTCATTCAGTGTAATACTAGGTTTAAGTTTCATTTTACTCCGAATGTGTCTATATGCACATAGATAAATGCTAAAACAAAAACAAGCAAATTCCTAATATTTCCTTCCTGGAAAACTCATCATTACTCTTTTGTAACCTTTCATTTTCAGTCTAGGTGAGGAAAAAATGAGCACTTTATGAGCTTTCTGAAAATTAAGATTTATTTTGAAATGTCAACATTAACATAAAAGGCTAACTTAAAACAAGAAAAAAATTAGTTAAAAATTAGAATTTTGGACATAAGGGATTTTTTTTTCTATAGAAGCCAAAATCTGACACTTACATATATTTCTCTGGGCAACCAGACTCTACTGTTTCAGATCAGGGTGTAGCTGGCGGCCAAATCTGCGCCATGGATAGGTGCACCATTGTGACCACCTTTTGGAATCTGATTTTTTTTTTTTTTTTTTGGAGTAAGGAGTGTACCCTTCAGTTAGCAAGGGTACACTCACTGCCTCTCCAGACCCCCGTCAGCATTCATGGGCGCTTTCCTGCAGCCCCTAGCCCCCCCCACCACCATTTCCATTTTCCACCTCTGTCTTAGATGACACTGATGTCTCAGGGCTCCTCCTGTGATGTGATGAAATCTTCTGAGTCAAGGACTGAGGAGGGGAAGCCATGCTCCCTCCATGGAGTCCAGCTAGGGCCTTCTTTGTTCTCATATGTGAGCATCAAGAGAGGCACACCAGGAGCAGAAGCTGAGCCCTCTTAGGGCCCATGAGATGCAAGGCAAGTCAAGATCTCTTTCTATCTCAAACCGTTGACTTTTTCAAAAGTGTAGAAGTTGCTGATATTTAGGGTTGGTGAGAGTGTGCAGGAATGGGTCCTCTTGTTTACTGTTAAAAAGGGATGCGATATTCTTGTCTTTGGACTTGGAATTGCTCATTATTTTTAAGGGAAACATTCCCAGCCCTAGCAAATCCATTTCCATCTCATAAAAATAGTCATAGAAGTATAAATATTAAATACATCACATATTTACAGATTTTTAAATAAATCCAAGTGTTTATCAATAGGGAAAATTTAATTATGATTCCATCAGTATAAACATGGAAATGTATCCTTCATATACCACTGAGAGCAAAAAGCAAATTCCAGAACAATGTGCATAGTATGATCCCATTAAAAGCCAAAATAGGATAAAATAACTATGTCTATGTATTTTAATAGGTGAACATAGGTTTATATACAGAGAAAGCCCAGAGGCATATGTATTAAAATAGTAACCATTATCTTTCCAATGGGAAGGAATGGGAACAGTGTTGGAAACACTGACTTTTACTTTATGTTTTATTTTGTGAATCAGTTTTTTTATTTGAGCAAAAATTTTATATAATAGAAAATAAAGTCACATAATTTAAACCCCTATCTCCCAAATACAGGAATGTGGACAGTAAAAACTTTTTATCCACTTCAGTCCCCAGCCCACCCATACAACATCTATTGTTAGTTTTTTTATTATTGTTATTTGTGTGTGTGTCTGTGTGTGTGTGAGAGAGACATGGAGGCTTGCTCTCGTTGCCCAGGTTGGAGTGCAATGGAGTGATCTCGGCTCACTGCAACCTCCACCTTTGGGGCTCAAGTGATTCTCCTGCCTCAGCCTCCTGAGTAGCTGGGATTACAGTGCCCACCACCACACCTGGCCAATTTTTTGTATTTTTAGTACAGACGGGGTTTCACCATGTTGGCCAGGTTGGTCTCAAACTCCTGACCTCAGATGATCTGCCCGCCTTGGCCTCTCAAAGTGCTGGGATCTATTGTTAGCTTCTTAGTGTCCTTCTAGAATTTATTTATGCACCTGAGGACAAATACAGATATGCTTTCTTGTTCTCTCTTTTTCTTTTCCACAAAAAGTAGTACATTGCTTGCTGGCTGACATTTTATTTTTTCCTTCATATATGTTACTTTTTTCTTGTTTGGAAAATTTTTTTTTACAGTGGTCTCTATTTCTTTAAAATTAAAATAAATGAGAAGTGTTGGATCTTAGGTGGGAAAGAGTTGCAGCTGTAGGGAGAGGCTACTCCACTTTCACAAATGTGATTGGGCCACATCCAGCAGTTGGGAAGCCAAGCAATATTTCAAAAGTTGAAACAAAAATAGTTATTCAAGCTGAGAAGGACATACCAGTAGATAATGAATTTGCTCTCTGTGTATTGATTTTGCCCTACTTAGAAACATCATTCGCCACCTCCAGGCAGCTGGTCCTGCCTCCTTTTCCTGAAACACCTTTGTCAAAGCTCTCCCGTGCTCTGTCTTCACATCTGCCCTTAATCACCGCAGGCACCCAGAGCACAGGGACAGGGCAGGGGAGGATGTGGCAGAGGCAGCGTTGGGAGGGACCAGCCATTCCTTGGTTTCCAGCTGTGGGGTCTCGGGCAGGTTGCACACCTCCCCTTAGCCTGTTTCATCCCTCAGGAAATGGGGATAACATTTCCTCACAGGATCGTTGTGAAGAATAAATGAGATATATAAACATTTGCATGTAGTAGGGCTAACTTTTTTTTTTTTTTTTTTTTTTTTGAGACGGAGTCTCGCTCTGTCACCACCCAGGCTGGAGTACGGTGGTGCGATCTCAGTTCACTGCAACCTCCGCCTCCCAGGTTCAAGTGATTCTCCTGCCTCCGCCTCCTGAGTAGCTGGGACTACAGGTGCATGCCACCATGCCCAGCTAATTTTTGTATTTTCACCATGCCCAGCTAATTTTTGTATTTTCAGTAGAGATGGGTTTCACCATGTTGCCCAGGATGGTCTCCCTCTTCTGACCTCGTGATCCACCTGCCTCGGTCTCCCAAAGTGCTGAGATTACAGTCGTGAGCCACCACGCCTGGCCAGTAGGGCTAATCTTATACCATTTTATTATGGGGTCAAAGACAGAATCTTTCCAGAGGTCTTGGTTATTTAAGAAAATATTTATTCAAGGATTTGATGCACAGGTAACCTCACTTATTTCTTTCTTCCCGTGAGCCAGGTTACCAAATTGTTGAAATTAATTACGTTATTATGGTGGGTAAGCATATATGTTAAAAGCAAAGATACAGTTCCTTATATTATTGGATTATGCTCCCAAACTTATCAAATTAGGTATACATGTCTTGAGACTGTTTCAATAAGACCTAAAATATAACCCATTGTATTCTGTGCTTGACCTGTCATAATAGAGATATAGGGAATGCAAATTCGTACACACATAATGGAAAAATAGTGTGGAAGTTCCTCAAAAAATAGAACTACTGAATGATGCAGAGGTCCCAGAACTGGGGCTATCTCCAAAGGAATGAAAACCAGTACATGGAAAAGCTATCTTCACTCAGGTTCACTGCGCCCTCTTCACAATAGCCAGGATATGGAGTCAACCTAAGTGTTTATGAACAGACGACCGGATGAAGAAAAGGTGACATATATACAACAGGGAATACTATTAAGACTTAAAAAAGAAGAAAATCCTATCATTTGTGTGAAACGGAAGGACCTGGAGGACATTGTGTTCAGTGAAACATGTCAGACACAGAGAGACAAATAGTGCATGATCTACCTACAGGTAAAATCTAAAAAAGCTGAACTCACAGAAGTAAAGAGTAGGATGGTGTTTTCATGGGACTTGTGAGGGGGTCATTAAGAAGGTATTGGTCAAAAGACGTGAAATTTAAGATAGACGGGAGGAATTAAAAAAGCAAATACGAGTGGCCACACAGTCATCATTCAGTAAAGAATGTTGAGTTCATTTTGTGAAAAGATCACATCGCATTGGAGGTATTGATAGGGCTCTCTGGGAGAAGCAGTCCTCCACAGGAAGAATAACATGGTATTTGTAAGGTTTGAGCTTCTCACACCAGTGGTGTTTTGGGAGCTGCAATACCCTCTCAGGATCCTGGGTGCTGGTTGGTGCCATTCAGTGTCCTGAAGAAATGATTTCCTCCAAGGGAAATGAGCTCGTGTTTTCCAGAGTGAAAGTTCCTCCTTGGACACTGGGATCTGCAGTGTCTTTGAGTGACTAAATGTCTTTCTAGAAGCCTTTGACTCACTGGGTAACGTGGAGTGGGAAGTGCCCACAGGATGTAGAGCCTCTCCAACATCATCCCAGAGTCAGCCTGTGTTTCCCAGGCTCATTCCCAAGTAGGTGAGGGAGGCCAGGTGGGGATGGGTGCAGGTTCTCGGGGCTTCCTTCCAGTGCGAGAATCAGGGCACAACTTTATGACCTCTCTAAGCTTTAGTTTTCTTATTCTGTGAAGAGGAATGAGAAGAAACTGGTTCTGACTCATAAAACCTGCTGATGCTACACTGACAGGGTCTCAGCAAATAGACATGGATATAAAGATGAATGGTGCCTGATGCTGCCTTGGAGTGGATGAGGAGCAGGGAACCACGTGGTGCTGATGTCTGCCTATGACTGAGCCATGCTTTCCGCGCGGATGCAAATCCCTGCAGGGCTGGGAGGGTAAACAATATTCTCTCATGAGTGTTCTTTTTAAGGCCCAAAGAGAAGGCTGATTTGGCCTCAAGAGTGAGGTTGGCTGCCCTCCTCCACCTAACAGGGTATGAGTTGAGGGTAGTTGAAATGATCCTAAATAACAGTGAGGTGATTATTCTTCACTATTTGTTTACCTTCTCTGAAAACTTTCTTCCTAACATGCTCAGTACTCACCTCCTGACGACTGGTATCTACATTTGCCTTGGTCCTAGCTTTTCAGATTGCAGAATCCAGATATGTTGCTTGAAACAGTTCATAGTTTCCACTAGGTCTGAGGCCTCATTGAGTCCTAGAGGATTTCCTTAAAGGAAACTGCGAGAAAAACTATTGAGATGGTTTTTCCTTTCCAAACATAGAGAGAGAGAGAGAGAGAGAGAGAGAGAGTTGCTGCTTTGTCCAACAGCAACTGTTTGATGAAGAGCCTCAAGATCTGACTTGGGCCTCCCAGCTCTCAGGAACCCATTCTCCACTGGCAGGGGTGGCGTGTTTACCCTGTTATTCATGGAGGAATTGGACCACAAACATTTGGGGATGTTAGGCTGAGAGCTGGAAAACCCCAAGCCTCTGGCGTGAAAACCTGGGGCTTGCTAGGAGCACTTGCAGGATACACCCATGTCCTGCCACCTGCCTAAAGAAGCCTTTGGGGCCGCACACAGTGGCTCACACCTGTAATCCCAGCACTTTGGGAGGCCAAGGTGGGTGGATCACCTGAAGTCAGGAGTTTGAGACCAGCCTGGCCAACATGGTAAAACTCCGTCTCTACTAAAAATACAAAAATTAGCTGGTGTGGTGGTGGGTGCCTGTAATACCAGCTACTCGGGAGACTGAGGCAGGAGAATCACTTGAACCCAGGAGGTGGAGGTTTCAGTGAGCCAAGATCGCACCACTGCACTCCAGCCTGGGCAAGAAAGTGAGACTCTGTCTCAAAAAAAAAAAAAAAAAAAAAAAAAGAAAAAAAAAAGAAAGAAAGAAAGAAAAGAAAAAAAAAAGAAAAAGAAGTCTTTGGGTGCTTGTCAGCTTCTTGGAACTGAAGGCAGACCATTCCCTTGCTCAAGCCAAAGAGCTCATTGACTCAAGAAGCATCATAGCAACTGGGCTGCACCTAAAAGGGAAGAATCAAGGGCGTGATCCACAACCAAGGCCTGAGGAAGCAGGGCCCGTAGTTGACATGCACAGTATGAGTCATGACCCATGTGCTGTGGCTCTAGCTATGGGCGGTGCCTCTTGCCATTTCCAGCTTCCTCCTTCAGAGGGTGGATGTTAATGGTCTTCATTGCTTGTAACCTTCTCAAAGGCACAGGTTTCTGTTTCTGCTTTCCCTGGATCAAGTCTTCTACACTGCAGTTGCTGTAACAAAAACTATTAGCAACAACACAGCACTACAGAAGCAAGCTCCTTGCTAACGGTGATTGCTGAGGACATTGTCTTCTAGAGACCACTCTAGTGGCTCGGCAGCCTTGGTGTAGAGCTGATGATAAACCTTTTCCTGCTTTTGCCAATCATGAGGAGCATTTCTTTGTCTAGATAGGGGAACTGAAACCCACTGGCCAGCCGGAATATACTCAAAGCAGTCACTGGGATACGAATCCCACCATCATCTCCCATGTTATCCCTTTTGTTATCTTCAAATATGGTCCCATTTACCCAGGACCAATATTCTCTTATGTGGACAGCAGGACTAGTGCCCTTGAGTTACTTATAGTGACTCATCTTTGAGTGGGGAATGTGTCAGTATTTTCAGCAAATGTCGAATGTGATGAAACATTTGCTGAATTGTCTCCCAGTTTCGAAACAAGCTAACACACTCAGGGGCTCTATTTACAGCAATCGGGTGGAGTCAGGAGTGGGAACGCATCTTGCATTGTCACCTTGATTAACAATAGCTCTGACCTGTGGAAGGATGGTCAAATCCTGTCTCCTGTAACATGGGGCAGTGATGGGTCAGGGTCATGGCTCTTGCATTTGGGTGAGGTCTTCTCATCACTTTTAGACAAACAAGTGCAGGGCGACTGCAGTCCTCCCCACTTCCATCAGCATCCTCCCAACTCTTTCGACCTCTCTCATGAAGCTACCCACTGATTCAGAGATCCTATCCTGAGGGGCTAAAAGAAACATTCATTAACCTGTCTAGAAAGTCATGAATAATTCATGAATTACATTGAATTCATCCTTAGTATAACTATCTTCAGAAATTCAGACTTGGTAACCTGGTAACTCCCTTCCTCAATGTCTTTCCAAGGCCCCAGGTGATCCCTGTGTTCCATACATAACGCCTTACACAGCAAAGTGCTTCTGGCGGTGGGAGCCTGCTGACCTTCCCTGGAATCCTGATTGCAAGTTCTGTTTAGAACATGGGGGCTCATTTTGAGAAGCTCTTAGTATTTAGCATTCACAGGAAGTTCACAGGTTCCAGAAAACACTGGACAGCACTCAGGGGAAAGAGAAGTGGCAGAGATGGAGACACCTGGTCAGTGTGGCCACAGCATCCTGGGGGAAAAGCACTGAGGGACAGCGGGGCAAATGCACATGGGTGGTGGGGAGAGGAGCAACGCAGATGGCAAGACACTGTCCAGACAACCCCCCAACTCAAGAGAAGGGACTGAATCTAACAGGAGAAGAGGAGGGATGGATGAGACTAGATGCTGAGGGTGCCACAAAGTCAGAAATTATTTGAAGTCAATGAAAATCAGACACCTATAGCTGTGACTGTGGTTTGCTAATAGAAGAAACAATGCTGGCCATATTTATTAAATACATTGATATTTTGGGGAAGAAAACATCTTTTGAGGCTAGACTTAATTTTCCTTCTATCTGAACAAGGGTTTGCTTATGATTTATACTTACATTTTCCAGCTTTGTAATAAGTTGAGCTGGTTGATACAGTGTGTAAGATATTTACAAAAGCAACAGAAAAAGAATACAGTCCTTAAAAAGTCTCAACATGAATTGTTTCTGCAGCTCAACTAGGAATTTCCACTCCTGTACCAGACAGCCACAGATTTGTCTGGAATCCTTAGGGGCCACAAGGACACTGGCCCTGATAATTCAATGGACAACGAAACAAAACAGTGCCTTGCAGTGCCACCATTAAGCTTCCAGTCCTTAGGTTTTCAGGGGAGATAATATTCATTTATTCCACAAATATTTATTTAGGATATACATTTTGTCAGGTAAGTTGTAAGCACCATGATTGACAGGCAGAGACAGACAATAATCAAATGAACAAATAAAGAGTAATTAAGATCGCTGACTTTGGAATTAAATAGTTCTGAGAATAAATTATGGTTCAGATTCTTCACCGGCATGTAACTTTGAGCAAGTCTCTAAAACTTATGGAGCCAACATTTCCTCACTTGTAAAAGAGGAATTAAATTGCCTACCTCTGTGGGTATTTTGAAGATTAAAGAGATAAGTGTGGTTACCAAAAACCTCCCAGAATAGAGCTACTATTATTCTTCTTAAAGGTGTTTTGGAATCTAATAGTGCCTCTATATCACGGAAACACCATTGCTGGGTCTTACCTTAAGACATATCACTGAAGATTTTAGGCAGAATTGTCAGAAAACACAGGAAAGTAACAGGGCATATGAGAAGCTCTTGAGACCTGGGAGGTCTTAGAACAGAGATGGACAGATAGGGACAGGAGGCCACAAACATGACCTGGAGCCGTGTCAACAGGCCATCTCTGCTGAGCTCTCTTCTGTGGTTTGACGTAGGGTTAAGGAGTTCCTGTGCCCTTGGGATTTCTCAGTCAAACCAGCTCCCATCCTCATTGCTTTCTCCCCTGTTGTTTCTGCTTTTTGTGCCCCCAAATATGTATGATGCACTGAAAGAAGTCAAAGGATTTTTTAAATTAACTGATTTTCAAAATGCTGACTTAAGACGAGAATTTTAACCACAGACATGCAAATTAAACTTGGGAAGCCGAGGTGGGTGGATCACGAGGTCAGGAGATCGAGATCATCCTGGCTAACATGCACTTCCTGTGTCCATCAGTGGATGAATGAATTTTTATATGTGGCATATATTCACAGTGGAATACTGTTCAGCCTTAAAAAAAGAAGGAAATCCTGTGATTTTCCACAAGACAGGTAAGCCTGGAGGGCATTACATTGAGTGAAATAGGCCAGACACAGAAAGAGAAATATTAATACTAAATGTCTCCCTTCCACATGGAATCTAGTAGAGTTGAACTCATAGAAGTAGAGCGTAGAATGGTGGGTGCTTACCCTGAGATTGGGGGATGGTTAGGGAGATGTCAATCATAAGATACACAATTTGTTAGACAGGAGGGAAAAAAAGGAAGACGGATGGCCAGACCCATCATTCTCCTCTACTAAAATAATCTCCAGAAATTCAGACTTAGTAACTCCCTTCCTGAATGTCTTTCTAATGCCCCAAGTGACCTCAATGCTCCATAGACAACACCTTCAACCGCAAAGTGCTTCTGGGGGTGGGAGCCAGCTGACCTTCCCTAGAATCCTGACTATAAATTCTGTTTAGAATGTGGGGTCTCATTTTGAGAAGCTCTTAGTATTTAATATTCACAAGAAGTTCACAGATTCAAGAAAACATAGAACGATATTCGGGGTAAAGAGAAGCAGCAGAGATTGGCTGGGTGTAATGGCTCACACCTGTAATCCCAGCACTTTGGAAAGCTGAGGCAGGCAGATCAACTGAGGTCAGGAGTTCAAGACCAGCCTGGCCAACATGGTGAAACCCCATCTCTACTAATAATACAAAAATTATCTGGGCATGGTGGCAGGCGCCTGTAATCCCAGCTACTTGGGATGCTGAGGAAGGAGAATCTCTTGGACCTGGGAGGTGGAGGCTGCAGTGAGCCAAGATTGTGCCACGGCACTCCAGCCTGAGGGACAAGAATGAGATTCCATCTCGAAACAAAACAAAACAAAACAAAAGAGAAACAGCAGAGATAGAGACACCTGGTCAGTGTGGCCAGAGCATCCTGGGAGAAAATGCACTGAGCGACAGAGGGGGCAAATGCAGGTGCATGGTAAGGAAAGGATCAAGGCAGATGGAAAGGACACTGCTCAGATAAACCTGCTAACTTGGGAGAAAATAATAGAGACAGGAGACAGCCAAATGCCACCCAGGTCATGCACAGGGGACTTGCCTAAAGATGCCCATGGTGAAAAATTCCTTCCCTTAACACATGTGCAGTAAGGGAAATAAAGCAATGTGGAGTGGCTCAGACTAAGGGCCCGCCTGCGCACTGGGGGAATGGGGGTGGAGCTACCATGAATTCATGCCTTATGCAGTGGGGAGGATCCTGGCCTCTTCATCTCATGTGTGGGGGCCTAGTATTCGGTGTTCAGTCTGTGATCTGCCTGTTGGCAAGATCCCCGTTTTGTTTGTTTGTTTGTTTATTTTTCTTCACTGAGGCTTTCTTTTAATACATTCTGCTCTCCTCATCTTTCCAATGTGTCTGTGTGCCTAATTTTTCTTGGTCATGAGACAAGTACCTGGGTTTTAGCTGAACTAAGGAGAAAAAATTCTACGTCTGAAGGACTGAATCCAACAGAAGAAGAGGAGAAAGAAAGTTGGACGCTGAGGAATGCCACTAGGTCCGAAATCATTTGAAGTCAATGAAAATCAGACACCTGTAGATGTGATTTGGGTTTGTTGATAGGAGGAACAATATTTGCCATCGTGTTTAGAGTATTGATATTTTGGGGAAAATTTCCCATTTGTGGCTTGATTGGTTAGCTCCCTCTGAAAAACATTTTGTTCATGAATTCTATGTAACTCAAATTTGTGAGCTTTGTAACAACTTGAGGAGGTTGATCTAGCATGTAGGATTTTTTTTTTTTTTTGATGAGTTCTTGCTCTGTTGTCCAGGCTGGAGTTCAGTGGCATGACCACAGCTCACTGCAGTGTCAACCTCTCCAGATTCAGATGATCCTTCCACCTCAGCCTCCCCAGTAGCTGGGACTACAGGTGTGTGCCACCATGCCCAGCTAATTTTTGTATTTTTTGTAGACATGTGGTATTGTCACGCTGCCCAGGCTGGTCTCAAACTCAAGAGAACTGCCCACTTTGGCCTCCCAAAGTGCTGGGATAACAGGCATAAGACACCACACCCAGCCACAGGCAGGAACATTTTTACATTCTACAAAATCTCCAGATGATGTGTTTCTAAGCTAAAACAGAAAATTCTCCCTTGTTTATTGTTGACCCAAAAAGTTGGCTGAACTCCTTATGAATCACAAGCACACTGGCCTTGATATTTCAATTAACTATGAAACAAAGCACTGAACTGCTCTACTACCATTATGCTTCCAGTCTGAGATTGTGAGGGGAGATAGTATTCACTCATTCTACAGATATTTATTTAGGATGTACTGCTTGTTAGGTGAGTGGTGAGCACAATGTTTGGCTGGCAGATACAGACAATAAACACAAGAGTAAAGAGTAATGAAGGCCACTAATTTTGGAATTAAATGGTTTTAGGTTCAAAACATGGTTCTGCTTCTTCACAGCCATGTAACTATGGGCAAGAAACATAAATTTGTAGAGCCTCCATTTCCTCACCTGTGAAAGGGGAATTAAAAATGCCCACCTCTGTGGGTATTGTGAGGATTAAAGTGATAAGTTATGTAATTAACAAACACTTCCCAGCATAGAGATACTCTTCTTGTTCTTTTTTTTTCAAGACATGATATTGCTCTGTTGCCCCCGCCTGGAGTGCAATGGAGTGATCATGGTTCACTGTAGCCTTGACCTCCCTGGCTCCAGCCATCCTCCCACCTCAGCCTCCTGAGTAGCTGGGATCACAGGTGCATGCCACCATGCCTGTCTAATTTTTGTATTCTTGTATTTGTGTGTGTGTGTGTGTGTGTGTAGAGACAGGGCTTGCCACATTGCCCAGGCTGGTCTTGAACTCCTGGCTCAAGTGATCCACCCACCTTGGCTTCCCAAAGAGCTGGGATTACAGGAGCGAGCCACTGCATCCAGCTCTTCTTCTTTCTTTTTCCTCCTTCTTCCTCCTTCTCCTTCTTTTTTTTTTTTTTTTTGAGGCAGGGTCTCCCTCTGTCACCCAGGCTGGAGTGCAGTGGCACGATCTCAGCTCACTGCATCCTCCCGCTCCCAGGTTCAAGTGATTCTCCTGCCTCAGCCTCCCAAGTAGCTGAGACCATAGGCACGCTGATTGGTTTCAGGAGGGGACTAATCAGAGGCTGAAGTGAAACCAATCAGATATTTGCATAGGATGTGACTTTGTAGCTTCACTTCAGCCTCTGATTGGTTGCCTTCCACAACCAATCAGACTGGTTGCAGGCCACTCCTTCATTTACATAGAGTGTAAACCAAGTAACCAATAGGAAACTTTTAGAGAGTACTTAAACCCCAGAAAATTCTGCAATCAGTGCTCTTGAGCTGCTTGCTCAAGCCCACTCCCACTTTGTGGAGCGTACTTTGGTTTCAATAAATCCATGCTTTTGTTGCTTCATTCTTTCATTGCTTTGTTTGCTAGGGTTTCCGGGTAGGGGGAATGGCCCCAAAGATACCCCAATCCCCAGAATCTGTGAATACCGAGCATTACATGGCAACAAGGAGTTTTCAGATGTAATCAGGGTATGGATTCAAATACGAAGATCACCCTGGGTCATCCTGGTTAGATTAGTCCAATCTAAAAAAACTTGCTTTTACAAGCATAGAACTTTCTGTGGCTAGGGACAGGGGAGATGAGGCAAGATGGGGAGGTGGTGTCAGATTCAAAACCTTGACTAACTGTTGCTGCTTTTGAAAATGAAGGGCTACCAAGCCAAAGAACACGACCAGCATTCAGCAGCCAAGAAGGACCCTGGCCATCAGCTAGCAATGAAATGAGGACCTTGATCCCACCACAGAAAAGAACTGAATTCCACTGACAACCTAAATGAGCCTAGAGACAAATTCTCCCCTGGAACCTCTTGATAAGGAGCCACACTGGCTCTCATCTCAATTTTGTCCTCAGGAGACGCTAAGCAGAAAACCCAGCCAAGTCAACTGGACTTCTGACCTACAGAAGTGGGAGGAAATCAATAGGTGTCGTTTGCTGCCTCTAAGTGTGTGGTGATTTGTTCTGGCAGCGAAAGAAAATGAATGTCATAAGAGGTGAGATGCAGAAAGAAGAAACAGAGTGGGTCTTCGGATGCCACCTGGAACCTAATAGTATGTCTGACATTGGTGTTGCATCCAGATTTCAAAACAAGATCCCGGCTGTCCTTCTACATTACTGCCCTAGGAACACCAGAAAGTAGTCACGGGGAGAATCACCAATTCAGCTCTTCTAATGAGGAGCTTAGGAAGAGAGAAGTTTGTGCTTTGCTTGCAGTGGCTTTTCTAGTTAGTGGGGGGACAGAGATTAGGACTCCAAACTCATGACTCTCAGCCTGGGAACCTTCCAGGGACAACCCCAGGAGGGACGCATGAAACGTCAGCCCTCCTCACATTTTTGCCTGTCTATTCACCTTTCTGCAGACGGCAAAGATGGTTCCACTGGAGGCTAGGCAGTCAATGTTGGGAGACCCGTCCAGTGGGCCAGAGCAGACCACGTATTTCCTCTAAATCAGAGAGGTAGGCACCACCCAGTCAGCGCATCTTCCAATTAGCACAATTGCACTAAGTCAGGGTTGTGTGCAGCAGAGAACACCACATGGAAAAAAGATAAGAGAACCACCATATCCTTATCAAAAAACACCATGACTTACAGAGGGCAGGGTGTGTCAGCTTACATAAAAATACTCCTTTGGGTTTTGTATTGGACAACTCGCCTGTCCAATGTGAAGACGAGAAGATAAAGTGGGTGGGGTCTTGAAAGACCCACATCCCTACACCCAGCCGCTCTGCTGTCACAGACAGCTCCAGCCATGGAGGGAAGTCCCTGGGTCCTTTGTACAGCCGCCTGTGTGCAAGGTCCTGAGAGAGCCCTTAGTGATGGGGACTGGAGTCCCTGGCTCATTAGACACTGGTAACAAAACTTCAAGTGAGATGAGGGTCATTTCTCCTTCCACCCAAATTAGTTTTCCCTGACTTTCCAATGAGTATTAGCCTAGCTTCATTTGAGCTTTGTTTCTGGTTTTTTTTTCCATGCTCAGAGGCAGACAAAAAAAGCTTGATCATCTATAAACTTAGAAATTCCCTAACATCTCTACAATAATTCAGTGTATCCCATAGTGATCCAGTTTAGCCCATTCATGCATGCTTTCATTCAGCAGATACTTGTTGAGCTTCTAGCGTATGCTGGGAACCGTTCAGGGCACTGGGATTTCAGGGCGGTGGCGATACTGGCAGCAAGGCTGGATTTCTTGGAACTGACATTCTAGTGTGAGAGCAGGCAGCACACAGGTCAGCACACACACACAAGCAGGTTGTGGTGTGTGCCCTAAAGAAAACCTACGCAGGCTAGAGGGGCTGGAGACCCATGAAGGGGGCACATTTGATGACAGGCTTGACTAGAATTAAGGAATGGAGACACACAGTGAGACCCAGAGAACAGATTTTTTTTTTTGAGACAGAGTCTCATTCTGTTGCCCAAGATGGAGTGCAGTGGTGTGGTTACAGCTCACTGCAGCCTAGAACTTCTGGGCTCAAGCAATCCTCCCACCTCAGCCTCCTGAATAGCTGGGACTATAGGAGCACGTCACCAAGCCCAGCTAATTTTTCTATTTTTTGTATTTTGATTTATGTTGCCCAGGCGGGTCTCAAATTCCTGAGCTCAAGTGATCCTTCTACTTTAGCCTGCCAAAGCGCTGGGATTGCAGGCATTAGCCACCATGCTCATCTTAGAGAGGAGAGTTCTAGGCAGAGAGATCAGCAGGTGTGGAGTATTCAAGAGCTGCATGAAAACCTGTGTGGTTCAGACCAATGGTAGAAGACAATGGCAGATTAGACAGGAGAGAGAAACGAGGGTCATATCAACTGAAGTTGAAAGTTTAAAATAATAGGGGTGATGTGGCTTAAATTATGTGAGACAAGTGTAAGAGTGTCTTGCACAGTACCTGGCATATAGCAGAGGTTAAATACATTTAGCTTTACTTTACCTTTTCCATTCTTCCAGCCAATCTACAAAGAAATAGCCTCTTGTCCACAATTTCCAATGTGTCAAAGAAGGGCAAATAGCCCAATAGATGCTATTCCATTTGAGAGAGAGGCGGGTCAGTGCTTTGTTTCATAGTTCATTGAAATATCAGGGCCAGTGTGCTTGTGACTCCCGAGGAGTTCAGCCAACTTTTTGGGTCAGATAGAATAGCATCTATTCTATGTTACTGTATTGCTGCTGAACATTGGTTGAACCTTTTGACCGCCAGCAAACCTCTCTCTATAAAAAGCTATTCGTGGACCCATAGTGAATATGGTCCCTCCCTAGCCATGCCCTGCACTAACCAACTTTACCATCGTGTTAGACAAGAGCACAGGATCCTCGTGATTTCCTTTCTAGACTGGTCTAACAGCTCATCAGGCATGAAGAAATCTCTGCTGGAACAATAACCCCCTTGCAAAGTGTGGGGTGAGGGTGGGGATGGAAACAAGAAGGAGGGGGTGAGAGTACTAGGCTGTATTTTACAGCTCTTCCAAGTAACTCTGGTTTTTACTGGACTCCACAAATTCAAGCCCCAAAAGATGTGTCACTTTTCACTGACAGATAAAGTGAACAGCCGTGAATAACCGCCCACTGAGGTGGTTCCGTACATCACTCTGAACTATCTCCTGAATGAATCACTGTCCTACTGTAGAGTCTTCTTTGATTAGACGGCTCAAGACTTCCAACTAGAAAGGTGGCAATCCATTGTTTCTAGAAAACAAATGTTAAGAAATTGAGAAAAATCCCAGAAGTTAAAGAAAAGCAGATTGTTCCTGGCTCAGTAGCATCACCTAATGGCGACCAGGGGCACTGGAGCCCTTGGACGCACCTTCTTGGCGATGATCATCACGTTCTTTTTCTTTTGTATGAGATGGGGATCATGGGCTGAGTAGATGCCCCAAAGGTGGCTGCCATGCTGTATGCAGGAATGCTGAGGTTTCATGCAAAAGTGTATGTTGGGATCACTTGACAGGGTGCATGGAAAGCATCCTAACAGAGTTTTGCTAACAGAGAATGTGACCTCCGCTAGTACTCTAGAGTCACAACCCAGATCCTAGCCTTTGGGTGGAGGTCCCGCCCTGTGAACTACCATCAGACCATCCTATTGTTCAGAGACTCCTTTTGTCCTTACTACTTCGTCTCAGGCTTGTGAGGGTCTCTACCAAGCAGAGCAAGCCCATAAATAAATAGCTTTGTGCTCACGGATGCATCAGTGGCGCTGAAGTAACTGTGAAGTGGACACCACTCTCCCTCCCTCTGGGCTGCTCTGTGTGTCCACACTGTTGTGCACCCTGAAAGAACTTTGAGATTTGCTGAAAGGTCACCAGCTGCAATTTCAGACCATACTGGTAACTCAAATGTCTAACATTTAAATGTGGCTGAAACGGGTAGACAGCTGGTCTGGATGCAAGCAGAAGTAGCAGGCCTTCCCTTGGATCTCTTTACAGGGCAGAGATGACTCCTTACAAATGGCACTAGTAATCCCTCTCCCTCCTGATACCCAGCTAACAGAAAAGTGCACCCTGCTCATAAGAAATCCCAAGGCCACATTTGTCTTCTGCGACCCTGGTCTCTGGCTACAGCTGACTTGACACGAACTAAGACAATCCGATTTTTTCTTCTGGAACTTGCTGTGAGACACAGAGACACAGTGGATTGGATGACAATGCTGGGACGTGAAGGATATGTCCTTGAGGCTAGGAAGGCAGTGGCTGCTGGATTTCATGAGTCCCCTGAAATATTCCAACAAATTCCCTTTCTGCTTCAGCCAGAATGAATGGGTTTCTGTTAGCTACAGCAAAGATGGCCTTGAGTACAACAGATATTACAATTAACATTTTGCAAATGAAGAAAGGGAGAGACTCAGAGAGGTTAAAAATGTTGCCAAGCTCAGTCTACCCTAGTCAGGATAGCATTGGTTATGCTGCAGCAATAAATAAGCCTGAAACCCCAGTGACTTAATACAGCAAAGGTTTGTTTCTCCTTCCCATGCCAGGCTGATAGCAACAGGGTAAATGGCTCAGGCCTCCAGGCTCCTGCCGAGTCGTGACTCTGTCTCTAAAATGCACGGCTTCAGAGGTGGCTCAGAAGGGAAGAGAGAGGATGAAGGATTGAGCATTGGGGGTCAACCTAGATGTAATTCTACCCCCACCCCATTTGACAAAACCTCTGGCCCTCACCTAAAAGCAAGAGAGGCTGGGAAATGTAGTCTTCCTACAGGCCCAGGAAGAGAAATGGGTGTGAGGAGGCTGATCTCCACCAGCCTCTCACACAGCTGGAATGGGCAGAGGCAGAGCCCGGCCTAAGGCCACCCTGACCCCAGCATAAGGCATCTCGCCAGCACGGGTGCCAGCGGCCTTCTCTGCAGCTCACCAGGACTCCACTCTCCATCACCAGCATCTCCATCCACCTCACTCTAGCTGTGGCTGCCACAAGGAGTTCCTGCACCTCACAGCAGCACCTCCATGCTTCAGGAACCAAAGGATGCATCTCTTTTTATTTTTCTTTTATTTTGAGTTTTTTAATGTTTGTGGGTACATAGTAGGTGCATATATTTATGGGGTACATGAGATGTTTTGATGCAGGCATGCAATGGATAATAATCACATCATGAAGAATGTGGTATCCATTCCCTCAGGCATTTATCCTTTCTGTTACAAAAATCCAAGTATACTTCTTAAGTTATTTTTAAATGTACAATTACTTTATTTTTGACTATAGTCACTCTACTCTCCTATCAAATAGTAGGTCTTATTAATTCTTTGTAATTTTTTAAATACCCATTAACTATCCCCACCCGCCCCTACCAATCCCCTTCCACTACCTTTCCCAGCCTCTGGCAACCATTCTTCTGCTCTCTATGCCCATCAGCTCAATTGTTTTGATTTTTAGATCCCATGAATAAGTGAGAAAATGCCACATTTGTCTTTCTGTGCCTGGCTTGTTGCACTTAACATAATGACCTCCAGTTCCATCCATATTGTTGCAAATGACAGAATCTCATTCCTTTTTACGGCTGAATAGTCCTCCATTGTGTATATACACCACATTCTCTTTACCCCTTCATCTAGTGATGGACACTTAGGGTTCCTCCAAATCTTAGTTATTGGGAACAGTGCTGCAGTAAACAGGGGAGTGCCGACTTCTCTTCAATATACTGATTTCCTTTCTTTTATGTATACACCCAGCAGTGGGATCACTGATTTGTATGGTAGCTCTATTTGTAGTTTTATGAGGAACCTCCTAACTGTTCTCCACAGTGGCTTTGTTAATTTATATTTCCACCACCAGTGTATGAGAGTTTACTTTTCTCTAGATTTATACTCGTATATACAGAAAATGCTGAAGATTCCACTGAAAAAAACCTATTAACATAAATGAATTCAGTAAAGTTGCAGGATACAAAGACAAAATACAGAAATTGGTAGCACTTGTATACACCAATAATGGACTATCTGAAAAGAAAATGTAGAAAATGATTCCATAGAAAATAGCCACAAAAATGAGATGCCTAAAAATAAATTTAACCAGCAGCTGAAAGACCTCTGCTTTGAAAGGTATAAAATATTGATGAAAGAAATTAAGAGCATGCAAATAAATGGAAAGATGTCCTGTGTTCTTGCATTAGAAAAAACTAATATTTTTAAGATGCCAGTCTTACCCAAAGCTATCTACAGATTCAATGAAATCTCTATCAAAATACCAGTGACACTCTTAACAGAGATAGGAAAAACAATCCTAAACCTCATATGGAATCAAAAAAGACCCCAAATAGTCAAAGCAATCTGGAGAAGAAAAAAAAGAAAGTAAGCTCCAAACATCATATTGCCTGACTTCAAAATACACAATACACTACAAAGTTATAATAACCTAAACAGGATGGCATTAGCATAAAGACAAATAGACGAAAGGGACAGAACAGAAAGCCCAGAAATAACGCCATGCATCTACAGCCAACTGATTTTTGACAAAGTGCCAAGGCAAGAGCACACATTGCAAACAGGACAGACTCTTCAACAAATGGTGCTTGGAAAATGGGATGTGCACACACAGAATGAAACTGGATTTCTATCCTCCACCAGATAGGAAAATAAACTCAAATGGACTAAAGACATAAATATAAGACCCCAAAATATGAAGCTACTAGAGGAAAACAGCAGAAATGCTTTAAGACATTCACCTGAGCAAGATTATTTTGAATATGACTCCAAAAGAGAATTGAAGCTGCTGAAGCCTTGCTTCCTATGGAATCTCCTACCTACTTGAGGGATTCAAGAAGTCCTGAATTTATCCATGTTGCTATGAGGCCAGATGTCATTACAGAAACTGTAGTGGAGATGTCAACTGAGGGATCTGAACCAATGGATACCTCTCCTATTCCTACCTCACCAGATAACCATGAACCAATGAAAACGAAAAAAGTTGGCCGTAAACCAAAGACCCAACAACCACCAATTTCCAGCGAGTCTCCTGAGTCAGGTATAAAAAAAAACCGAGAGAAGGAAAAGGAAACATAATATATTTGTAGGAGTTTCTTTTATATCTACTTAAAGATAAAAATACTTGTCCCCAGTATATTAAATGGATTCCGAGAGAAAAAGGCATATTCAGGCTGGTGGATTCAAAGGCTGTCTGTAAGCTTTGGGGAAAGCATAAGAACAAACCAGACATGAACTATGAAACTATGGAACAAGCTTTGAGATACTATTACCAAAGGGGTATTCTTGCAAAGCTACCAAAGGGGAATTCTTGCAAAGGTCGAAGGACAGAGGCTTGTATATCAGTTCAAGGATATGCCCAAAAACATAGTGGTCATAGATGATGACAGAAGTGAAACCTGTAATGAAGATTTAGCAGGAGCTACTGACGAAAAATCATTGGAATAAGTGTCACTGTCTGCAGAAAGTCTCCTGAAAGCAACATCCTCTGTTTGTGGGGGAAAAAATTCATCCCTTATAAACACTTTAAAGAAAGCGTGGGTGCAGACGTGTAGAAATGCTAGGTGCAGCTGATTAATGCCAATTGTAACTATTATTAAGCCTAGCTGATTTGAGGTGGAGAAGGCTACCCAGTGCAGAGAAGGGTGTAGCTAAAGTCGTGAATATCACTTCCCCTGGTCACGATGCTTCATGCAGGTTTCCAGCTACCACTGAATCTGTATCAGCAACAGCAGCTCCAAGGACGGTTCGTGTGGCAATGCAAGTACTGTTGTAATGACATCACTGGGTCAGAACATTTCAACTGTGGCAGTTCAGTCAGTCAATGCAGGTGCATCATTAATAACCAGCACTAGTCCAACAACAGTGACCTCTCCAAAGGTAGTCATTCAGATAATCCCTACTATGATGCCATCTGCTACTGAAAACCGAGACAAAATCGCTATGCAGCCTGTCAAAATTATTACCATCTCAGCTACACAGCTTGCACGGTGTCGACTGTAGACAAAGTCAAATTTAACTGGATCAGGAAGCATTAACATTGTTGGAACACCATTGGCTGTGAGAGCACTTACCCCTTTTTCAGTAGCCCATGGTACACCTGTAATGAGACTCTCAGTGCCTACTCAGCAGGCATCTGGCCAGACTCCTCCTCGAGTTATCAGTGCAGTCATAAAGGGGCCAGAGGTTAAACCAGAAGTGGCCAAAAAGCCTGAGCTTGATTCTTGGGTGCAGGTTCTGCATGGGTCAGGGCTGTTAGATGAAGAGTGCTCAATGCGCATCCTGAGCATGGATGAGAAAAAGTCAGTTAGTGACCTCCCCCCGCCCCCCCAAAAAAAGATTCAAATGACGATTCTGAAGGTTCGTAACCCCTGGTCTGCAATTATTACTCATGTTGTAGATAGGTTTATTTTTATCTCTAATACATTGTTTTAAAAATTCAGATAAAATTGACATAACAAGAAGTCCAAGCCAGAGCAATCAAGCAAGAGAAAGAAATAATAGGCATCCAAATAAGAAAAGAAGTTAAACTATATGGTTCTACATCTAGAAAATCCTAAGGACTCCACCAAAAGAATCCTGGAACTAATAAATGCTTTCGATATAGTTTAAGGACATAATACAAATGTACAAAATAAGTAGCATTTCTATATAACAATAACAATCAAACTGAAAACCCAATAAAGCAAGCAATCCCATTTACAATAGTCAAAAACAAATAAATAAATAAAATATGTAAGAATACATCTAACCAAGGAGGTAAAAGATCTCTACAAGAACTACAAAACACTGCTGAAAGAAATCAGAGATGACACAAACAAATGGAAAAACATTCCATGCTCATTAATTTGAAGAATCAATATTGATGAAATGGCCATACTGCCCAAAGCAATCTATGGATTCAATATGATTCCTATCAAGCTACCAACATCATTTTTCACAGACCTAAAAAAACTATTCTAAAATTTATGTGGAACTAATAAAGGGTCTGAATAGCTAAAGCAATCCTGAGCAAAAAGAACAAAGCCAGAGGCATCATGCTACCAGACTTCAAATTATACTATAAGGCTACAGTAACCAAAACAGCATGGTACTGGTACAAAAACAAACATGCAGACCAATGGAACAGAATAGAGAACCCAAGAATAAAGCCGAACACCTATAGCCATATGATCTTCAACAAAGTTGACAAAAATAAACAAAGAGGAAAGGACTCCCTAGTCAATAAATGTTCCCAAGATATCTGGCTAGCCATATGCTGAAGACTGAAACTGGACCCCTACCTTTCACCATATACAAAAAGTAACCATGATGGATTAAAGATTCAAATGTAAGACCTCAGAATACAAGAACCCTAGAAGAAAACCTAGAAAACAGCATTCTGCACATCAGCATTGGCAAAGAATTTATGACTATATCCTCAAAAGCAATTGCAACAAATACAAAAATTGACAAGTGGGACCTAATTAAATGAAAGAGCTTCTGCACAGTAAAGGAACTATCAACAGAGTAAGCAGACAACCTACAGAAGGGGAGAATATATTTGCAAACTAAGCATCTGACAAAGCCCTAATATCCAGAATCTATAAGGAACGTAAACAATTGAACAAGACAAAATTAAAAACCAAATAGCCTCATCAAGAAATGGGCAAAAGACATTAACAGACACTTCTCAAAAAAAAAGACATACAAGTGTCCAGAAAAAAGGAAAAAATTACTAACCACCAAAGTAATGCAACATTACTAATCATTAGAGAAATGCAATATTTCACACCTTTTCACTTTCAGAACCCAGTAGAGCTATTGAAGCTTTACAGCTCATGGGGCCTCTCTATGGCTGGAAACTCCTAGAGTTTTAACTCTCAGCCTTGTTCACACTGGGCCTCCAGCAATTTGTCAGTTGCACTTTGCTTTCCCCACCCAGTTGCTTGTTCCTGTGGAGGTCTCTACCTGTGGGTTTCTGAGGCTGTAAGTTGTGGCTTTTGGTATTATTCTGTCTCTCCAGTTATGGGGTCGTGGTTTGCTCCATGACTTCACTTGCCTGATGGGTAAGAAGAATTGTTGATTTTTCATGCATGTTCTCCTTGTCCAGACACCCAAGAGTATGTCCTTCTCTTGGGCATAAGATCTGAAATTATATTTAGGTGTTAATGGGTGGTGAAGAGTGGATCCAGCTGGCATGCTCACAGTGACCAAATTTCGTTGATCATATTTTAATCCAATACATTGCTCCACTATTAACTTGCAAATAAATGACACATTTGCTTTCAAGACATATTCCAGGAAGGCCAAAGAAACTGGCTTCTTATCAATATGGAATAATTCTCCTGGTGAATTTCTTTCAGGATAGACCAAAGCTGATGTAGAACATAAGCTTTACATACTTGGATCCTTCCCACTAGATAAGAAAAAACATCTGGGCTGAACGCTCCATTAGAAGAGCAATGTGGGATGGTGCTGTGCTGACAATGGGTAGTCCCTGCCCTACATCTTTGTAGAGGACTGGAGCCCAGAGTGGGCCATAGTCAACTTACGTGTTGAAGTGAAGGCCTCCTTCTAGGTGTGCATGTGCTTATTACAGATATGCCACGGTGCTAAGTACCCCAGGACTACAGGAAAAAATAAGAATACGTGCCGTATCCATAATCGGCAGGCACACAGGCCAGAGTGCCAGCTGTGGAATCACACAGCCCGGGTTCAAAGCCCAGCTGGGCCATGACCACCTGAAGGACCTGCGGGAAGGTCTTAGGTAAATTTGTGAAAAGAAGTGGAGGCCCTGCCTGCCAGGAAGGGATGTGGTAAGGGGCAACATCCAGTCAGGTCAGAGCACCGCATTCTCTCCCTGGAAACCTGCATAGCGGGACTGGTGGCCCTAGCGGCCAGGGCGGCCATGGAGAAGGCGGGCCTGGCTCCAGGCGGCACAGAGGCACTGGAGCAGCCCTGGGGGAACCTGGCAGGATGCGGGTGGGCCCGTGCTGGGCTTCCAGCAGATTCTGGCCCTGTAACCCAGGGGACAGGGTCGGGCAATACAGGGCCACTGGGTGCCAAGGCAGTGCCCAGGCCAGGCGCCAGGCGGAAAGGGCTCTAATATGTCAGCCCCGCATCCCCCACAGCCCCACAGAGGGGCCCATCACAGGCCACATACCTGTCCCCAGGAGCAGGATGTCCCCAGGTGTGAGAGAGTCCTGCTGGGTCCTGCGGGGGCGGGAGTGGTGGGGGTGGGGCTCTCCGTTTTGCCCTTTGACCCCTCTGGTAGGCGCCCTAGGACGGGGGTGCTCCCGCGCGCTTCTGCACGCCCTGGTTCTGTCACCAGCCCCATTGGGACGTCACAAGCGCTCAGCTGCCCAGTGCGCGCCTGGCGAAAGAGAAGTGGGCGACTACGGAGCAGCGTCTCCATTACTGACCGTTTTCTCGCCATTGTACCCGCACAACTTGCTCTAAATGGGCAATTTATTAAGTATATTTCGTCCCCGGTCCCGCCGCAGACCCCTGCCAGGCCGTCGCTCACAAGCTCCCATAGCCCGTGAGTCCTCTCAGCCTGGCCCGGCTCAGCCTGCGGCGCCCACGCGTACCCCGGGCCCTTTCCGATTCCTCTTCAACCCTCAGCAGAGCCGCGGGCCTTCTCCAGTCAGCTTCTACAGCGCCCCTAGGAAACCGTGTCCTCTCCCGCCAGACACGGACGTCCCCCTGGGGGTCCTGCCTGCTGTGGGCGGCGGGCTCCCCTCAAGGAAGAAACCCGTGCTGTCTGCTCGCAACTCCATGATGTTGGGACACCCCAGCTCGGTGAGGATCCCTCCTCCCAGCAGCCAGTTCCCTCTCCAACTGCCTTCACTACGGGAGCAGGTGGCCGGGGCCAGGAAGCTGATTCCGATCCCAGCCAGGCTGCCGAATAAGACCAAGGTGAGGACCCAAGGAAAGCCCTGAGCAGTGACAGAGGAGGAGGGTCAGGTAGAGACGCAGTAGCAGGAGGACAAGAAAAACCCCCTCCTCTCCGCAGGACATCCACATCCAGGACCCTGGAGACCCATGGAGACCTCAGTTCCTTCAGGTGCTGTCCGGGGCCCCTTGAGGGAACTGTTTATCCCAACTGTTTGACAGAAAATAACTTGATTGACAAGACCTGGGTGTCTCCAGTGAGTTCCTGCTGGGAGGGCCGTGTTGTCCCCAGCTCACACAGCCCTGCTGTCCCCAGCTCACACAGCCCTGCTGCAGGGGTCCTTCCCCTTAAGAAGCCTGACCCGGCCGGGCGCGGTGGCTCACGCCTCTAATCCCAGCACTCTAGGAGGCTGAGGCGGGAGGATCACAAGGTCAGGAGATCGAGACCATCCTGGCTAACACGGTGAAACCCCGTCTCCACTAAAAATACAAAAAATTAGCTGGGCGTGGTGGCGGGCGCCTGTAGTCCCAGCTACTCGGGAGGCTGAGGCAGGAGAATGGCGTGAACCCGGGAGGCGGAGCTTGCAGTGAGCCGAGATTGTGCCACTGCACAACAGCCTGGGTGACAGGGCGAGACTCTGTCTCAAAAAAAAAAGAAGCCTGACCCATCTCCAAGAGTGCTCCTTGATCCCGCCCTGGGCTGCTTCCTGCTGCCAGAGAAGGTGGCCCAGGAAATGCAGGACAAAGACACCTGCTCAGCTCCCCAGGCTTGCTGATGTTGGGGAAGAGCCTTCAGCTCTTGCATCAAGGAGATCTTCTCCACCCAGAGCTGCCAGCCACAGGCCCCGCAAAAGAAAATTGTCAGTTACAACTTCTGCCGCTGGCCTCTGCCCTGCAATTAATGGATATGGGATAGAGCTGAGTTGCAGTTAGACCTTCCAGGAACAACATTTACAGTCATAGTTGATGAGCTCTGAGCAGAAGTTCCTATTGTGGGGTGTGCGACTCCTCTAGGGGATTCTTGGGTAGATTTCAGGGCATCTGTAAACCCTCTAAACATGTAGTGTATGTAATATGTATGCTTATATGCATTTTTCTGGCAAGTGTGTTGATAAATTTCATTAGATTCCTTATGCGGTCTATGACCCCAAATCAGCTGGCGCTGAAGCTAAAAGTCAGACGCAGCCTGTGGCAAATAAGACACACAGCTGGCTCATGGTGAACGATGAGTGTGAGGCCGAAGGGGAAGGACAGTAAGAATCACCAGTCACATGATTTCGGCCTTCTCCTTCAAACCTACCACAGCCTGGAGGCTCACTCAAGGGAAATAGAGCTGGTTTCTCTTCCCCTGCCCACCACACAGACATGCCAAGGAGCAGCAGCGCAGTAGCCAAACAGCAGGTATGACAGGAGAGAGCTCCTCCTGCTCCCTGACTGGATGCACAGCTGGTGGACAAAGGAGAATTCCCTTGCCCTGAGGGCTCTTCTGGTCACCTGGGTACATGAAGATTTCTCTATAGACCAAGATGTGGTGCATATCCACCACTATGGAGCTCACATACCTGACCCCATAGGGAGCACTGCTGTCCTAGAAGGCAGAAAGAGAAGAGACAAAACTCAGTGGCCTTCATGGTTAGTCAGTACCTGCTCTGGGATCACACATCCAGTTGGGGTGACCTCTACATTCCTGACCCCCTATCCTCCAGCCACTAGTGTAGAAATTGAAACAATTATACAATTGTGCATTTCATTCATTATGAGTCCCTTAAATGTCAACATGTGATTGGACTTATTAAATGTAGGACTACTTAAAGTAAGAGACAATATCCTGTAGCAATCTTAAGAGAGCAGCTAAACAAATAAAGAGAAAGAAAGAAAAGAAGGAGAGAAAGGAAAGGAAAGGAAGGAAGGAAGGAAGGAATGAAGAAAGGAAGGAAGGGAGAGAAAGGAAAGAGAAAGAAGGAAAGAGAAAGAGAGAAGGAAAGAAAAGAAAGAAAGAAAGAAAAAAGAAAGAAAGAAAGAAAGAAAGAAAGAAAGAAAGAAAGGAAGGAAGGAAAGAGGAAGGAAGGAAGGAAGGAAGGAAGGAAGGAAGGAAGGAAAGAGGAAGTCTACATGAACAACAGCTTTTTAGTAGCTCCTTGAAGCTCCTGCTTGAATCACTGTGGTTCACAATCGTTTTAGCTTTCTGAGAAGCAGACTTCCTTAAATAATGACTACTCGGCTCTTACTGCATGCAGTGTTTATCCGTGGCAAAATCTTAAACACCTTTAGCAATTATTTAAAGAAATAAAACAACTTATTTGTAAATCTCAATTCCACTACTCACATGTGTAATAAAAAGGATGTTTGACCAGAGAGAAATAAGTCAAAAGTCATGATGTTCCTCAGAGTAGGCATAAGAGGTAAGGCATGACAATATTATTACATTGCTCCCTGGGCAGGTTTGGTTTTCCCCATTCAGTGATCCATCTATGATTTCTTTCTCTAGTCTAATAATTCTCTGACAGTGCACAGGGAGACAGCAAATCCTTAGGGCAGCCATCAAGTGTTTTGTGTTCCAAAAATGCTTGGGGTTAATGAGTAATGACAAGCAAAGCAAGCTGCAAAACAAATACTTTGGTAAAATAACATGTCCAGACTTTAAAGACTTGAACACAAACTAGAGTGAGTAATGGATCAAGAACTGAGTAAATGCCAATAAGATCAAATGTGAACTGATGTCTTCTCAAGGTGTTTTGGTTAGAAACTGTGTGTGTGTGTGTATGTGTGTGTTACCAACAAACCATTAAAGTAAGTTAAGATGGAAACCAAGCCTGAGAAATCTCTGAACAAAGCCAATGAGGCCTCATAAGGGACCTCAACCTTCCTTGATTTGCAGTGAGGTTTCACATAAGTAAAACCTAACTTGAAGTATTTCTTGTAAATGCTTACACAGTTCTATAGTACTTGGGCCCTGTAGACTTATCACACACTGAATTATTCTTTTTTTGTTGTAATGTCTTGCCACTCCAACTAGACTGCAGCTTCCTGGAGATGGGACCATGTTCCTTATTTGCCAGTCACAGGTGTTGAGTAAATATCCTGCCTTTCCTCCTGTTATAACGGAAGTGGTGTCCAACTCCTACCCAAAGCCCATCCTCTTCTTGTCTTCTGATTCCTCCCCCTTCTGCCTCTCACAGACTCAGTGACATCCATCTTCCCCCATCTCTTCTTTTGACATACTTCAACTTCTCTTTCAGCCTCAGTCCATCAGCTCAACGATCTCCCATTTGATTAGAAATTCATCCAAAGGCCCCATATCAGACTCTAGTTCCATCCTGGGATTCCCCACTGCCACATTTCATAGAGGCGTGGAGGTGTGCACATCACCACCTCCACATCACCACCTCCCCCAGTTCTTCTGCCCACTGCTCCTCGACTTCGATGCCATCACTCCAGTGGAACACACTTCCCCCAAGGTCACCAATGCACCACCATAGCCTATGGACACTATACTTAACTTCTAAGCAGCACTATCTACTATTGACTATGAGCTCCTTCTCGAAACACCATCTCTGGTTCCTGGAGAAGGGGTGAGCTGAACTGGCAAGGAGTATCCCAATCTTGTCATGGGCATCTGGAACCCTGACAGGAGGAGGCCCCTCAACCACCATGGACACTTGAGTTGGCAGGGAAAGCTGCTTAGAGAAGGGGTAGGGGCAGAACTCCAGCCAGTGTGGAGCCCAGAGAGTTTGTTGCAGGAGCTTCTCTAGTGGAGCATAGCCAGGGACACCCATCCCCCTAAAGTTCAACTTGCTCCTATAAGAGTCTTAAGGCCTAGGAGAACTGTGGGACCTGAACTCTGCAGGGTGGTCCATGAGACAGGGCCAGTCCGACCAGAGCATCCCTCAGTCTCCTGGTCTCTCCCAGGGCCCTAGTCTGGCCACGCCTTCTTGTAGTGCAGCCTTGGGTGCCCACAGAGGGTACCTCCTAGGGCTCCACATCATAGCTCCTGTGCTGGCAGACTATACCTGACCAGCAAAGAGCTCCAGCAGAGTAGCCCCACAGACACACCAGCCTGCCCATGCCCTCCCCCGATTGCAGCCTCCCCTGTGCTGCTTTGCCTGCATACACTTGCCCACAGCCACTCCCTCCATATGGCTTTGCCAGAGCATGTGTGTATGGGTAGACCTTGCCCCCACTAATGCCCCACCTCTGCACCAAGCTACCACCAGCCTGAAACTAGGCATGGAGAATAATGGACACACGTCCCCCTGAGTGGTCACTGCCACTCACAGGAACACACACAGAGGACACACACACTCCTGCACCCACCAGCACCCCATTCACATGCTAACACCATCACCAGTGCAAACACACGTAAGACACCAGCTGGGGTGCCCTTCCTCCTGACACCATGCTGCCTCTGCCACTGCTGTGAACACCTGCACAGAGGCCGGCAACCCAGCACCCACTAGCACCCCACCACAATGGACAAGCATGCACCCCTCCACAGTGCCACTGCCACTGCTGCTGGCACATGCAAACAAGGACAGATTCCACTGCCACCACCCTATGAAGCGCTTTGGCTGGCACCACCCATACAAGTGTTGTGACCAGCTATCTGGGAGAACCTCTGTACCCCCTGCACAGTGGATTCCTAACATCAAGGAGACTGGGAACAAAGTCGGCCCAGTAGAAGTCCAGTATTAGAGCACGCAGTCCAGAAGTTGGGAGCTGAGCTTTGACCCCCTACAATCTTCCAGAAACAAAGCCAGTCCACTGAACCCACCTTGTACCACAATCAAACCCCCAAGGTTATCAAATAGGATAAAAGAAAAAAAAAACCCATCCAAAGGACAGCACTTCAAAGACTGAAGGAACATTAGCCCACACAGATGAGAAAGAATGAGTGCAAGAACGCTGCCAACTCAGCCTGTGTGCCTTCTTTCTGCGTCACCTCTCCAGCAAGGGTTCTGAACTGGGCTGAGATGACTGACGTGACAGAAACAGAATTCAGAATGCGAACAGGAATGAAGATCATCAAGATTAAGGAGAATGCTGAAACCCAAACCAAGGATGCTAAGAATCACAATAAAACAATACAGGAGCTGACAGACCAAATAGCCAATATGAAAAAGAATGTAATCAACCTGATAGAGCTGAAAAACACACTACAGGAATTTCATAATGCAATCGCAAGTATTAATAGCACAATAGATGAAGCTGAGGAAAGAATCCTAGAGCTTGAAGACTGGCTTTCTGAAATAAGACAGACAAGAATAAAGAAAAAAGAATAAAAAGGAATGAAAAAAAAAAACCTCTGAGAAATATGGGATTCTGTAAAAAGACCCAATCTATGAGTCATTGGTGTCTCTGAAAGAGATGGAGAGAATGGAAACAACTTGGAAAACATACTTGGGGTTATCACCCATGAGAACTTCGCCAACTCAGCTAGAGAGGCCAACAGAAAATTCGGCTTTGCCAGCTAAAAAAAAAAAGAAAAAAAAAAAAGAAAATTCGGGAAATGCAGAGAACCCTCGTAAGATACTTCACAAGAAGATCATCCACAAGACACATAATCATCAGATTCTCCAAGCTTGAAATGAAAGAAAAATGTTAAAAGCAGCTAGAGAGAAGGGTCAGGTCACCTACAAATGAAAGCCCATTAAACTAACAGTGGACCTCTCAGCAGAGGTCCATTCCCCATGAGTCATAGGGAATGATCAACATTCTTAAAAGAAACTCCAACCAAGACTTTCATATCTAGCCAAACAAATCTTCATTGGCAAAGGAGAATAAGATCTTTTGCAGAAAAGCAAATACTGAGGGAATTCATTACCACTAGACCTGTCATCTCTAGGAACTCTGATTTTATAGATCACATCTGGCCTTGCACCAGGTGGAATTTGTGAAAAGTGTAAGGAACTATTACTGCTAATTAGGCAAGCCTCATGCTCTAATTGTCAAAAACGAAAATGAGAACACAAAATACCAAACCCCTGAAGCAATGTTTTCTCACTCATTTCCTCCCTCCATCCCCCTTCCAGCAGATTCCTGAGAACAACCTAATACATATTCCTCTTCCCTTCCAGATACAGAATTGGGTGTTCTTCATCTGGGCTTTTGTCCTGCCCACACCCAGCAGGCGCACAGCCCGTAAAGCAGGAAAAGGAACCAAGCTGAAGGAGGCAGAAACTCCGCAGCCAGCAAGGAGGAGGCGCTATCTCCCTGCAGGTTAGGAAGCCCTAAGCCATGCAACCCAGTGTGTGGGAGATGAGGGTTCTTCCCCACTTGATTGTTTCCAAGCAGGGTCATGTTGTGGTTAAGGGTATGGGTTGGCAGCCAGAATGCTTGGGTTTGAATCCTGGCTCAGCCACTTACCTTGGATAAGTAATTGAACCCCTCTGTGCCTCATCTTCCCCATCTGTACCTGCCTCCAAGAGTTGTTATGAGAATAAAGGAGTTAATACGTGTAAAACACTTAAAACAGGGCTTACCACCTATTACTCACCCAGCAAGTGTTAACTGTTATTATTATTATCTCCAACTCATAATTATAGTGAACATCATTATATTATATTATCCTCTAGTTGCATCCCTTGAAACCATACTACAGGAAAGAAATTACCAAATCTTCTGGTATTTTAGTTACTTAGCACTTTATTGGATCCAAGATGAAACACCTTGGACTGAATTAACAGTGAAGACTAAGGTGAGGATCCACAATTCTATTTTACCAGAAATCCTACTTCTAGGAATACCTTCTAAGGCAATTTTCAGATCAGCAAAGACGAGGCACAAAGGGGCTCACGGCAACATTTTTTTATGGAGTGAAAAGCTAGACACAGGCTAAGTGTGGAACAACCTGAGAATGATTAAATACGTTATGGTACAGTAATGTGCTTTTGAAGAATTTTTAATAACTAGGAAATACTCGTGAAGTAGATTGGATTACATTTGATAACTATGTAAGCACATTTGCAAGAAAACAAAACCTAGAGAGATGTATGATGATGTTCACAGTGGGGTTACTGAGAGTGAAGACACTTACACATGGTTTTTGTTTACATTTTATTTTTTTGGTGCCTTCCACGTGTTACACATGAACACACACAATTTTTATATTTGGAGAAAACGTTAAGTCATGAAACCAAAACATTTAAATACAGAAAGAATCTTTCAGAAGACACACAGTGAACTACCAGGAACTAGAGATAGAACTTACATCCCTAAATTCCTAGTTTTCAAGCCCAGAATGACTCCACATAACAGAGGCAGGTGTTGCTACTCTTCAACTTACCTTTGCTCTAGAAAGAAAAGCTGTGAGAAATCTCTCAGTTAAGGATAGATAGATGGATGGATGGATAGATAGATAGATAGATAGATAGATAGATAGATAGATAGATAGATAGATAGATAGGAAGGAGGATGGATGGATGGATAGATAGATAGATAGATAGATAGATAGATAGATAGATAGGAAGGAGGATGGATGGATAGATAGATAGATAGGAGGGAGGGAGGGAGGAAGGGATATAAGAATGGATGGATGGATGGATGGATGGATGGACGGATGGGTAACTAGAGATGGGCATAACTTGGGGGAGGAAAGCAAGAGCCTTTGAAGGTGCAGGATATGATTTGGCCTTGACTAATCACGGCCATTCATTTTCACAACACTGGGGCTCCTTGGCCCACATATGCTTATTAAGAAAGTGTTCTGAGAAAGCCACAGTTTTAGCAGACAAAGCCCAGGAAGGCTTCACCAGAGAGTTCTCCATCACAGCAATGCTCTGCTCATTCCTCTCATTAATTTAATAAACAAGGGAATTTTGCAAGAGTTTTAATGGAATATAACTACAGCCCTGATTTGGCTCCTTCTGGCTTCTTCTTGTTTTCTAATATTAAAAAACCTTTAAAGGGCATCCATTTTTCTTGAGCAAATAACATAAAAAAGACCGCCTTGGCAGGGTTAAATTCCCAGGACCTTGGGTTTAGGGTTGGACTAAATGGCTGGTATAAACCCTTACAAAAGTATCTTGAGCTCAGTGGAGCTTATGTTGAGAAATAAATTTTATATTTCGTATTTTTATCTTTTAATTTCATTTTTTTCCATGAACTTTTTGAAGTTCTCTTGTGTAATTAATTATTCCTTCGAAAAGCAAATGCAACTGAGTGAGTGAACCTATAGGCTGGAGCTTAAACAAATGACTTAAGAGAGATTCTGGCCTGAGCTCTGAGTTTTGCAAGTGTTATTCCTAACTTTTGTTATAAACAATTTCTCCTGGAACAACTTAAATGTAAAGGGAAGTATTATCTTTAGAAGGTAAATTTTAGCTATAAAAGATACTGATTGCTTATGAAGAAAGGCAGAGTCTGCCATTCTCATACTGACCAGAGCTATGAACAGTGGCTCCAGCCTCTTTTGGCAAGGCCCCCAGAAGCCACCACCCAAACAGGACCCCATGGAGACAACATTCTCCCTACGACCCACCTGGGCTTTCTTCACTCACCTCAGGGAATTTCTTTTTCTGCACATATTAAGTGGCGGCCCTGTCAAAATACTTAGCATTGCCCTCATTCAGGCTGTAAATCTTTCCTTTCTTACTAATGTTGACATCTTTTTCCACCAGTACAAATTCACCAAGAGCCTAGAGAGACGAAGAGAGATGCCAGGAAGAAGAGAGATGCCAGGAAACAGAAGCCCACAGAATCATGAGAAGATGGGGGCCTGCTGGCAGAGCTGGGGCTTGGCAGTGGTCACTCTGGAGCCTACCCTGTGGTGTTTTTATGAGTAGTGGAAAGAACAGAGATACTATGGAGCCCACAAAGGAAGCTCAAGCAGTAACATAGCAAGAGGGAAAACAATTCAAAGGGAAGAGGCCCATGGTCTTCTTTCTTTGTGACTTCTACTGTCAGGGAGGCTCCTTATTTATAAAGAACATGACTGTGTTTATCTCCCAAGTTCTCACCCCAAGATCAATGTGTTCAGAAAGACTTGAGCCATCAACAGTTAGAGGAGAAGTTGCACTGATGTGTGAGGGATGCATTTTGACAATTTGTGATCCAGTTATTTTGTTTATGTTAATGACTCCATCTCAGAAACCATTAAAAGTTTCTGGTATCCCAACTAATCTTATCTGGGGAAAAGAAGTTCTTTCAATTGGAAACTGTGTTCACCTGGCATAAGGAAAAAGTTGGTAAAATCTAAAGGAATCCTCAGACTTATTAATAAAATTGTGCCCAGTCCCTCTCCCCTTATAGCCACTGTGGTCAATAGCTGCAGGGCATCCCTCAGACACCCCTTTATCTAGTTCTGGTGACATCAGTCACTAAAAATGTGATCAGCTCTCAGCAGACACCACCTTAAATGCTGACGTCTCTCTAAGTCACTAGGGGGAAAGTCAGGGCCTGCAAACCAGATTCATTTTGATTAATGTTCAGAATTTTGAGAAAGTGAGAAACTCCAAAGTGACAGCTCACAGCTAACAGCTAGCCCAGAGGTTCCCAAGGAACATCAGAGATATTCCCAGAATATAAAGAGGGAAGGCCATGCTGTCCATCTCTGAAATAAGACGGTGACTAGGAGACTCAACAACTACACATTGCTCTCTTCTGCTAACAAGACTGACAACTGCTTCTTTACCAACGACTTCACTTTAATCTCTCTGACTCCTAATTAAAAATTATTAAGAAAACTAATCATTAATTGCACCCACTTCCAGGCAATATCCAATCCAGACTGACCCTCTGTTACTCAAACCCTCTTTAGAATCACCAAGTAAAACCTCAGGGTTCCTCTGCAGTGCACTCCCCCTGCCCAGTAAATCGAACTTCTTTTTATTACAGGCGTGCACGTGATGCATTTTGTCTCATGAGCTTTAACTCGCTGTGGGCACCTGTTGCTTTGGAGTAGACCAGCCTTGAGTTCCACTTCTGAAAAGTGCCCTGACATCCCTTAAAGAGTGGGATGTCAGTCTAGAAAGATCCGTATCTGGGTCTCTTTTAGGTCAAGGCCAGGCACGTGCCTTAGCTTAAAAAATTAGATACCCCTCCCTGGGATTTGAAACCTGAGAGAGAGGCACAGCACTGGGGTTGGTGTCCAGGACAGACTGGCCATGTTGCAGGACTACTGCCGTGCTTTCTGCTTCCTGGTCCTCCAGCCCTGCCCGTTCCTAGCCAAGGTCCTTTGCTTTCCCAATGAAACCAGAAAAGTTCCCTTATCCCCCTCGCAGGGGGTGTGGCTTACTGTTTCCGAGCCCCGCTGCTCAAAGCTCTAGGGGGAGCATGCAGACAGGCAGGCTGTGGGGCTCCGACCCGTGTCAGCATCTAGGTGTGAATGTTTACAGCTGAAGCGCCAGTGGGCATGTGTTACAGTGTGCTCTTTCAGTTTCACCATCCGTCCATAGGCGGCTTGCGTTAGTCAGCTCAATTAGACCCCCTGCCTTGTCTTCCGCCATCCACTGGTCAATGGCCTGATGGTAGATGCCGGTGTGTTCCACCGGCATGTTCCTCTCGACGTCCAGCTGCTTGTGTGCGTGCCCGCCAGGGTCTCGGGGTTTTTCTAGGCACAGGATGGGGGCGTGGCAGGCCAGGGTGGTCTTGGGAAATACATTGGGGCACTGAAACAGAAATGCCTCTCCTAACCTAGGTCCGTGGGCACAGACCCGGGGGTGGAGCCCTGGCCGAGGACCCTGCCCTTCTCCTCCCAGCACTTCCCTGCCCCCTTCTCATATCACCATCAATGCAGTAACTCCTCTCAATTGAGCTGGGTTCGATTTTGCTCTTGCTTTTCAGCAAAGAGCGTGGAAAGGCACAGCTGTCATTTAAACAGTGGCACTCACTCTCCACCTGAACAGAGGAGCTCATTCTGCATCAGGGTGGGTGAAAACGCCTTGGGTTGATCCACTCCTGGGTCTGGGTCAGGGACTCTCGGACCCCTTGAATGTTGTTTCCACAATTTTATTAACCTGGAAAATATGCCCCTTTGTTCTGATTGTGTGGTCACCAACGACCGCTGATTTTTAATATAGAATCTCATACACTTTGATAAGAGGGTCCCTGATGATCAGGCACCAGATCCCTATCACTGAGAAACAAAGGCTCCTATTTGTAAATGAATGCCTTGACATTGAGCTTTATCCCACAATGGGGACTTGGTTAACAGGAGGTGGTCTCTCTGTGCCTGAACAATATGTGTGTTCTGACAAAATCAAATCATCAGGTCTGCAAACCCACAGACCTTACAGGTTGGGTTTGACCCACCAGGGAATGCTGTCTCCATCACTGCTGACTGCCCTCCATGGCATTTCTATCTGTGACAACTGCTACAAGCTATCTCTGCTGGACGTCAACATCCCAAACAGGCGCTAAGCTTTGTGCACTGGGTCTTTGCTCAAATGTCCTTTATAGTAGGGTGATGTGATCCAAAGGGGTTTCAGGATAATACACAGAGATCAGGAAAGATTATGCTATGGTTCATCTCTTCCTTCTGTCATGCTGACAAGTTCTGGTGCCCACCTATGTCCAGACTAGGCCCTGCTGTCATGACTGAGGGCAGAAAGCAGAGGCTTTGTCTGTGCCTGGGAACCCTTGAGTACCCAAGTCAAAGCACCTCCCACTGTCTTTAGAACTGCTCAGAATGTTCTTGGAGATATTTTACTTGTACTTAAGAGCAGTTGTTTTTGAAATTCGGTCTGGTTTAGTAGTTAAAGCACAGATTGCTGGAGTGTGACTCCTGACACCATCAGTCACTAGCTTGACCTTAGACAAGCTACTCACCCTCTATGTGCCTCACTTCCCCCACTTGAAAATGAGAATAGTAGTAGGACCTACCTCACAGGGCTGCTGTGATTTTTTTTTTTTTTTTTTTGAGACAGAGTCTGACTCTGTCGCCAGGCTGGAGTACAGTGGTGCGATCTCAGCTCACTACAACCTCCGCCTCCTGGGTTCAAGTGATTCTCCCGCCTCAGCCTCTGAAATAGCTGGGATTACAAGCACCCGCTACCATGCCCAGCTAATTTTTGTATTTTTGGTAGAGACAGGGTTTCACCATGTTGGCCAGGATGGTCTTGATCTCTTGACCTCGTGATCCACCCACCTCAGCCTCCCAAAGTGCTGGGATTACAGGTGTGCACCATCGCACCCGGCCTGCTGTGATGTTTAAATGCATTAATAGATGTAAATTCCCTAGGACAGGTACCTACATTCCTACAACTTATTAAGAATTATCTGTTAGCTGTTACTCTACAGCAACTGTAGACAGGGCAATTTATTGTCTGAGAGTAATATGTATAAGCCATAGAATTTCTCAGAGTTTGCCGGCTTCTTTGAAAATAAAGGAAAACTGTGGCATTCGCAAAATGACACAGCAGTGGGCCTTGGTCTAATGGGTTTATAGGTGAAAAGATTCCATTTGAAAAGATTCCATTTGAAAACCCTGCTTTGTTAGTTAACTGTTTCATTTTGAAATTGGCAATCCCCCTCTCTGCACATACAAACTGCCGTGTGAACTCCATAAGGGTTGGCATGTGTGTTTGATCAGTGCTGTATCTCCACTGCCTGATATGGTGCTTTGGGACATAGTAGATACTCAATAACATCTGTAAATCTCAATTAAATTTAAATACTTACCTTTCATCAGAGTCAACACAAGAGGTTTTGAAGTCATCATTGATCAACATTATCTGTGTTTTCACAAGACCTCAGTATACCTGGTAAAGCATTTCACAAGCGATAAACAAGACATCCAGCATTTGAAAGCAAAACTCACAGAGCGTTCTACCGGATGGTGCTGCTCTAAAGAAGTCATGCTTCTGTCTGGAAATTCGCAGCATTACGATTCTTAAATCATGGAGTTCTCATACACCAAAGAAATCGAGTGCATTTGTGAAAAATGAACTCCTTAAGGACAGGGCTTGAGTTGATGCAACTGACTCTGCAAGACACCCCATCCCTCGGTGCCCTCCCTGGGACAGAGGTCCTTCGTGGTTTCTGACGATGGTGTTGGCTCCTGAAACTAGGCTTTCAGGCTCTCTGGCCTCACAAACAAGTATTAGGAATGACCAGGAAATTTCCTGGTCTCTCTTTGACCCACAGATTTTCTGTCTCTTCCCTGCTGTCCAGGGTTCTCTCCCAAACACTCCAGTCAAAATGAACTTGTTTAGTCTCTGCTTTTGTCCTTTATTCTGGAGGGCACAGGCATTAACCTCCTCTCATGTGCCATCTTGCTCGGCCTTCCATGGCCTTTTTCAAAAGCGAGATGGGATGAAATGGAAGAGAATGGAATAGTGTGGAATAGAATTGAATATATGAGAGTGCATCAAGCATTATTTCATAAAACTTTTGTTTTCATTTATAGATATGGGGGTACTCAGAGTCACAATATAAATTTGCTATTTTTACTTAGAGTCAAAAAGTTTGAATTTGCAGGCATATATACTACGTTAATAGCAGCTTTTTTGAAGATACCTGTTGAAATACCAATGTGAGGGAGTTATGTTGCCTTTTTGATATAAAAATGGGGCTTCTATTAACATATTTAGATCAATGGTATAACTTTTATATTCATGCCAATATTCTTAGTCCCTCCATTTTCCACAGTATCTCTTGTCCTCTAGGGGTCAGAGCTTTAGGCCTCACCTTTCCTGCATCAGAGGAAGCTGACATCTTTCCAGGCTGCGCTCATGCCGGTTTTTGCAAACCTGAAGCTCCAGTTCTCATGGTTTGATCATGTGCTAATTTCCTCAAACCTTTGTAGCCAGTTTGGTAAAGCAAAGTCCACCAAACAGCAGGAATGAAGGGACTTTTGCAAGATCACTAGAACTTTCCCTGCCTGTAGGGCCAGGAAGAGCCTGGGCCTTCCATGGAAAGACCAGGAGAGATTGAGTCACTGCTGAGGAGGCTGCTGCTCTTCCCTTAGGTCAGGGAATAATTTTCGCATTTCAAATAAGCTATTTGTTCCAGATGTTGGGACTCCTGGGTCTAGGCATTTGTAGCTGCTTTGAAATCATTTGCAAGACATGTGGAGCCAGATTGCTTCAGTAAGTACATCCTGGACAGGGCCTGGACCCAGACTTTGCCAACACCACCCAGTGAGTCTCTTTGTGTTGCCTGTGGCGTTTGGCTTGAGTTT